CAACAACTATGTGGCCAGGGACGAGCAGTCCAACCAAGGGACTGGGCTCACCAGCACTCATAGTAGAATCCTCAATACTTGTGCGCCTATGACAAGTCCTACGCGCACAAACTAACCCCGGTAAGGGTCTACAAAACACCCCATCAAGGGTGCCCGGGTTCCGATCATATCCAAACCATAATCACAGTTTCCAAGTATCCATTATCCCTCAAGTATCAGTATCCAAGGGGGGTACATGAGATGGCGTGTCATCACCAAGATCCAAAATCCACTTTCATAAACTAAATACATAATAAAGATAATACTCTCAAAATCCAATTTCCAAAACAAATCGTTTCCATATTAAATATATATATAATAAAATAATACTCATGTTTCCTTTTTAAAAACCATATTAAACCATACTTTAGAAAAACATCGAGACTAAATAAGCCCATTCGATTTAATTAATATTCAAATTACTATTCATATACTTAGGGATATGCAACCTCTGAAAATCTCACAAGGCAAGATAATAAAATCCAAAACACCACATATTTAATTTCCCAAAACCATAGCCCATCAATATATATATACTAATTCTGACATTCTCAAAGATATTGACATTCAAAGTCTGATAACCACATAACTAATGCACCAAAACCAAAAATCCATAACATACCCAAAGTCATCCTAACCCCTTATTATTCACTTTCCAAGACACTCTTTTAAAACCTGCATCAATATCCAATGTACCCACAACCCAAGTACACAGACATATATTTGAATGTAAACATGTAATCGACATTTAATTATATCCTTACTGGCACCAAACCCCTCTATCAACCATAAATGAATTATAATATCAATAATTAGAACAAAACGATAATAATAATAATAGTAATATAAATAATAATAATAATAATAATAATAATAACAATATATAAACGGAAACTCTCGTGTCACATTTTAAAGGCCAAAACCAAATCAATAGCTGGCCTTTATAACCTCGTTAACCAAAATACCCATTTCCAAACAAATCAATTTCCCACCGATATCACTACTACGCCCAATATCATAATATAAAACCAATTCAAGTTTTCAACACTAGACCCAAACCCATAATTCCTAGAAACTTAACTTGTACACACAACCTTTGAAAGGTCCTAAAGTCATTCTAGTACTTTTACAAAGGATGAGACGGTCTCAAAAGACCCGGCATCAATAGTTGGTCAGACTTCTCGTTTTTGGTCAACCGGGACCATGGGGCCCACGACCTATGATTTCTAAACCAAATGTTCCTATGGATTCAACAAGGTTTATTATACATGTCCTACAAGTTGGGTCCAAATCGAACAGTTGAATCGCTCGCGATCGCACGATCAGATGGTTATCGTTTAAACTAATCTTTGAATCATTGAATCGAAGCATCCGGGACTCTAATTCATGATCCGCGAATTCCTTCACGATCCTAGAGGCATCTAGATGAACATAGTTTGAAATGGAGTCGATCCAATGGTCCGAACATATCGAACCTAGATAACGCCTAATATGCATAATCCGATCGACGGTCAAACGATAACCAAATTCAAATCCGAGCATATCGTCGTGCTCGGGATGACATGGGGATCATTTTAGGACCAAATGGGTCACCCAAACAATGCCCATGCGCCGCCAGCACGTGGGTGTCTTGAGAAATTCTGGTGACCGAAAAATTCTCGAAACACCCATCAATACCAATACCTACATGATCATGACAACGAGTGGAGCAACTTTTGTTCTTGGACCACGGCTAAAAAGTGACCAGAACTTGCCAGAAACACGAGTCGAAAATTGGCCAAACTTTAAGCGATAAATTGAGTTTGAAAACTCAAAAATAGATCCTAATCAACCCAACCATTAGCTAGAACACATTGAGAGGATGAGAAATCATACCTAGATCGACAAATTTGGTGGCCGGAATAGGGAAGTGAGTCGGTCACTTGGGTACTGGTCCCACCCAATTTGGTGGAGGAGTTGATTGCAAGGGGGGAGGGGCCTTTGGGGGAGAAAGAGAGAGAGAGAGGGAGAAGAAAAATCTGATTTTAAAACTGAACTTTGAAATATTTACGATTATACCACTAGGCTTCCGTTGATCGTAACTTCTTCGTTACAACTCAGATTTAAGGCCACTACGTATTTACGGACTCATCTCGACGTGATCTATGTCATGGTGCCATTCATTCCCCCAAAATCCTACCAGATTCAAAAGTGACCAAAATGACCCTACTTTGAGGGCAAAATTGTAATTTCATAATCAAATAAATTAAATAAATTTATAATGATTTGTTAAATTATTAAAATTGGGTCGGGATGTTACATACTCGATATTGTGGATTTAAATGTTGTTTGAAATATCATATTGTATTAATCGAAACTTTACTTTCCAGTCAATTCCGAGATTGTGTCACCTACATGTGTATTTATTATATTTTGTTTATGTACATAAATTTGCTTGTGTTTTTAGTAAGTTTTCAAAGGTTTGCCAAAGCAGAGGGGTTAGTATGTCTTGTATAATTACTTTCAAGAAAGTCCACTCATGCATTTACTGTTTTGCACCCCCATGAAGTAGATAGCTCAGAGTTTGGACGATCACGTAAGCTACTCTGGCATCGGTGAAGTCCTTGCAATTCTACCTAATAGGCAACTTCATTTTTCCGTTTTCATTTTTTATTTGGAAACTAACTTTGTAAATTTAACTCCAGTAGTTGCTTTGATATTTCCTACTTAGGACTAAATTTGAGGCCAGAGGCCATGTGAAATTGTGTGTGCCTTACCTTGTGTGTATTGTCAGTTGGGATTATTAGATTCTCATTATTTACAGGTCTTAATTTGGGAAAAGTCCATTTTACAGGGATGACTTTGCCGAAATTTCGGTAAAAGTCTCGACCCATTTTTCTTAAAAAGTTCGGGTGAGAGGTGTAAAGTTAGTAGTAGGTCCGGTACCGTTTGGGTGCCAAAATATGTAATAGGATTCGACAAGAGTTCCGAGGGGGATTTCAGGTCAGGTCCTATCAATTCAAAATCCATCTATACTCTATGTCCATAGTACCCAAACTCTGAGAAATTCCAACGAGATACATGGCTTCTCCTCCATAATAGAATCCCCAACCTATATAGGTCCTTAAGTGTTACGCAAGGGTTTTGGTGATATTTATAGCACTCATGTTATCATAGTAATTAAGAAGTTAGATGCACAAGACATTTCCATACATATAAATATCGTATCCTAAAATGTTCCTAGTCATAGGATCACCAATTGGACAATGGTGACCTGGAAAGACTGGTACACATTACGTCTTCTCAATTGGGAGGATGACTGTTTGGGCCAAAATTTTGCACACCTAGCCCAGCGCTAGAGGCCCAGAAAGATGAAGCAATATTATAATCCAAGCAGTTTGGACCTTTTTGTTTAAATTGGAATCAAGAGCCCAAAATCGAGAAAGCCCAGTCCAGGACCTGTCAACCCATGAGAATAAGTTTGGGCTTCAGAAAATAGAGGAAAGAAGTCAGCCCACGGTCCCAAAACTGAACCTGGGCTTGGCATGATCAAATGAAAAGAGAAAAGCCCAAAATAGAAACAAACCCACGTGACTACCTGACTTTGAAAAGTCAGCAATTTCAACTGGGTTGATAGGGAGTTAATGAAGGCAGGTCTTAAACAGGCAAAAGTCTCCAGCCTTTTCAGTCAAAAAAGACCACAGTCCTTTTCTATATAAATTCTGCATCATGACAGACATCATTTCCAAGGGATAAGCATACTATATTTTCTAAACAGATAAGTAGGGTGCAGAGAGTTGTTCATTTGGAAAATCAAACTAACCATCACGACATATTGAACTCTTACAAAGAGGAGTTAAAGGTCAAAAAGGGATTAGGTTTTCTTTCAAAAAAACAGAGAGGTGATCACCATAAAGAACAAATAACTTCCCTTTGCATTTAAAATAAAATATCTTTCTTTTTGAAAATCTTGCCGCCCATTATTAAAAGATTAGAAGCCTCACTCCAGCATTTTTTATAAATATGAGAGGAGATGAACAGATCAGGGCGACCAAAAAATCAATCAAAAACAAAAAACTCAAAATGATCACTTAATCTCAAAAAACCTTCAAAACACTGAAGCAACCAAAGCTCATTGAGCCACAACAAACAAGTCAGCTAGAATTCAGAATATCTAGAGTCAGTTCAGTTTCAGAGAAATAGTCATACAAAGCGAGACTTCTATCGTTACAAATTTGGTTCAGCTTAAGCCAAATCAAGAAGAGTTCAAGTTTTTACAAATATGAAAACCTCAACAAATTTATGGAGAGTTCAAGTACTACAACGCAGTTCCAGCTCAGTAATCATCGAATCCAGCCACTTATGCCCTCTCCAGACTGAAGAGGTTCTAATTCTGCCCGTTCAAAAATCCTTCCAGGACTTGAAATAGATTAAAGCTCTGCCAAACTCGAACATTGGTATCGATTTATAGCTGAAACTTGACAGTTGAACGTGTTGATAGTCTAGTCTAGCACAGACATACCTAATCCAGCTCGGATCAGAAGCATTTATCTAGGCAAAAATTGAAGTCCAAAAGCTCAGAGTTGGTCTTCCGTTTTTGAGCTTTGTAAATGGCATTTCTGCCTGAACAGTTTACTTTCTTATCATTTATTCTGGCCAAAACTATCAGTTTTGCACCGTGAAAAATTGTGAAGTCCTCACCAGTCTGAGGCAAAGAAAATAACTTACTTGGGAGACACTCCTCACCCAAATTCACAATCGCTTGTTTAGAAATCAGTAACTTGGGGCGCAAGTTATCTATTTTTAAGAAAGTCTGCTAGGGCTTTTGTTCCTACCAGTGTCACGCTCGCACACAAAAGAAAGTTGACTTGTTGATCAGTTAATGGTTTTCGTGACAATGGGGAACTTTACTGTACCATCACAGGAATAAATATAAAACGGTGAACAATTTGGCACGCTCTCCGAGAAAAATCTTCTAGTATATGAATATTAGAAGTTCTAGCCAGAATCCACGTTGCGCCATGGAAAGACATCAGGCAGCTCTCCGAGAAGGACTTGAGTCAGAAGAAAGTGATGCTAGGCAATTAGCCCATGGCAGTTCCAGGAGTGGACGTTCCACATCTGGTTCTAGAAGGTTGAACCAGATACAGGAGGCTGTGTTCTAGCAGGAGGCCACAACGCAAAGGTGCCAGGATACTCTAAACAACATGACAGGCATGATGCAATGGCAAGTCAATAGGCAGTTCGGGAAGGACCGAGAGGCTGCTATTGCTAGAATTCCAAATGCAGATACGGTGGTCCAGCAGTTAAATCTGCCTTCTGGAACTCCACCAGACTGGTATGGCCTTACCAAGAGAATCCTCCTATTGCACAGTTAGCTGGTATACCAGGACATGGAGAAATCCAAGCTGGACAGAGGGGATGAGCCCTTCCCATCCAAGAACATGATGCTCCAGTTCATCCAAAAGGCCCTACACTAGTTCAGGCACCCCAAAACTAGCTAGAACCTCCACCTATTCCACAACCAGTGGCCCCACGTGATTAGCCTTTGGCACTTCTGCCTGAGCAACCAGTTGTGTTACCCTACAGACCCAGAAGAATAGACCCCAATCCATTCCCTCCACTGGCAAGAGGCATGAAAGGTAGATGGAGAATTAACCCCTTTGCCAATAATGACAGGAACAGACCAAGGGCAAACTGGAGAAATCATCCAGATCTTGAGGAAGAGGAAGTTCTGTCCAGGCCATACAGAGTAGAACAAAGGATTGAACACAACCAGCCAGAACAAAGGCAAAATCCGCATCTTGTCAATGCTTTGAATGACATAGGGGCACTTCAGAGAATGATAAGAGAGATGATGGAACCTAAGGCCAGAAGTGGAGAAAGGCCCATCGACAGAAAGCCATATCCAGCCTATATTGATCATATACCTCTATCCCCGGGCTTTAAGGTACCAAACTTCACCTTGTTCAACGGAGAGGACAACCACGCTTCATTAGTTGAGCATATAGGCAGATTCTCTGTCCAGTGCATATCCATAGAAAATAACCCTTCGTTAAAACTAAGGCTTTTTGGAAATTCTCTCTCCGGACAAGCCTTCACCTGGTATACTACCTTACCAGCCAATTATGTGCAAACCTAGGAGCAGATGGAAAATGTCTTCCATGAGTACTATTTCAGGATTCAGCCAGAAGTCACCATTAGTGATCTTGCTGCCCTCAAATAGAGTGAAGATGAGCCTGCCCAAGACTTCATAACCAGGTTCAGGAAGCTCAAAATGAGTGAAGAAAGGCACTTCATCCAAATGGCTCAAACCACCCTTTAAATCTCTCTGAGGAAGAGATTTGATGGAATATTGTTTGGAGACCTGGCAGAACTGGTAGACAAAGCATCTAAATACGAGGAGCTGCTCAGGGAAGAACAACAGAGAAGGAACTCCTTAAAAGGCACATATTACAAAACCTCATCTTCTTCAGTGCATCTGGTTAAGGTAGAATTAGAAGAAGGCATAGAAGGCTCCAAAGAAAGAGAGGTTGCAAAGCTCTGACAAAGCCACCAAATGACTAGAAGCCACCACCGTTCATAGGAAGGTTTGTTCCAAACAAGCCAGCACAGAACAAAGTCTATTCCTTCTATTTAACCAAGGTTGATGCTCTGTTTGATGAGATGCTGCTACATAATGCTAAAATATGAGAACTATGATAGAATATTTGTTTGTGGGAATTTTCTGTGTATTCTTCTCCTTGTAGGAGGTCATATTTATAATACAACAAAACCTGAATGGGCAAGTAAATAATAGATTCCTAAATCTATTTACAGTAGGAAATCAGGAATTAAAGTAAATCAATTACAATTATAATAGGAATCCTTGGTGTGTAAGGAAAGTAAGTCAATATCCACAAATCACGCCAACACTCCCCCTCACGTTGGTGCATAGATGTCGCCAATGCCCAACTGATCCAGTGAATTGTGGAATGCTTTACTGGAAATCGCCTTTGTCAAAATATCCGCCAATTGATCCTCGGATTTCACAAAAGGAAACTGAAACACTTTAGCCTCAAGCTTCTGTTTGATGAAGTGTCGATCCACCTCAACATGTTTAGTACGATCATGCTGAACTGGATTCTGTGCAATGGCTATAGCAGCCTTGTTGTCACAAAAGAGATTCATTGTGGATGTAGGTTTATACCCAAGTTCAGTAAGCAACTTTCTTAACCAAAGAAGTTCACAAATCCCTTTAGTCATACCTCTGAACTCGGCTTCTGCACTGGATAAAGCTACTACATTCTGTTTCTTGCTTCTCCATGTCACCAAATTACCTCCCACGAATGTGAAGTAACCCGATGTGGATTTTCTATCTGTTACATTACCTGCCCAATCTGCATCTGAATAACCATCAATATTTAGATGACCATGCTTTGAGAACATAAGTCCTTTTCCAGGTGCAGACTTCAAATATCTAAGTATCCGAAGAACTGCATTCATGTGGTCTTCACTTGGAGAATGCATAAATTGACTGACAACGCTCACCGCATAAGCAATGTCTGGTCGAGTATGTGACAAATAGATCAATCTTCCCACTAACCTTTGGTATCTTTCTTTGTTAGTTGGAACTTGATCAGGATATTCTCCAAGATGATGATTTTGAATAATAGGAGTGTCCGCAGGTTTGCAATCTAGCATTCCTGTGTCTGTCAACAAGTCCAAGACATATTTCCTTTGAGATAGAAATATGCCTTGCTGCGATCGAGCAACCTCAATTCCCAAGAAATACTTGAGTCCACCTAGATCCTTCATCTCAAACTCAGTAGCCAAATAGTCTTGTAGCTGTGATATTTCCTGTTTATCATTCCCAGTAATAATCATATCATCAACATAGATTATTAATGCTGTTACCTTCCCTTTCCGATGTTTCAAGAACAAAGTATGATCTGAGTTGCACTGTTTGAAACCATTATTCTTCATTGCCATGGTAAACCGTCCAAACCATGCACGTGGTGACTGTTTCAATCCATACAATGCTTTTCGTAACCTGCAAACTGTTCCAGTTTGAGTAGTATTATATCCAGGAGGAATGTCCATGTACACCTCCTCCGCAAGTTCGCCATGTAGAAAAGCATTCTTTACATCAAACTGGTGTAGTGGCCAATCCAAATTAGCTGCAAGGGACAATAAGACTCTGACGGTATTTAACTTTGCAACTGGTGCAAAGGTTTCTTCATAGTCTATACCATAGGTCTGTGTGTACCCTTTTGCCACAAGTCTTGCCTTGTATCGCTTGATAGATCCATCTGCATTGTGTTTTATAGTAAACACCCACCTACATCCGATAGTCTTTTTTCCTCGTGGTATAGTCTGTAATGTCCAAGTCTGATTTTTCTCAAGAGCTCTCATCTCCTCTTTTATAGCTTGGACCCACTTAGGATCTTTCAATGCTTCAGAGACCTTGGTTGGAATCTGGATAGCAGACAACTGATGCACAAAAGCCTTGAGTGGTTCAGACAGCTTCTCAGTGGATACATGATTTGCAATTGGATACTTGGATGCCTTGTCAATATCAGGTGAATAACGGTTTGGTGGCTTCCCACGATTTTGCCTGAAAGGTAATTGATATCTAATAGTTTTATCCTCTAAATGCACAAGTCTAGTAGGAGTATTTACCTCAAAGATATTCTCAGGAGATTGGTCCGTTGGTACTGTTGAGTGAGAGGGGGGGGTCTTCATCTTGTTGTTCTGAGTTGTCTGTAGGAGTATGACTCGAATCAAAAACAGCTTTGCAAGGGGTAGGTGATTGATCGTTGTTTGGCAGAGGGCATTCGCACGTGCCAGACTCGGGACGATCGATTGTTATTGTTTCTTGGCCGAGAGCAATCTTTGTGCATAGATGAATATCTTCGTTTTCCAAGCTGCTCCAATTGAGTTCTTCACTCGGTATCTCCCCATGAAGAGTAGAATTGGATGCTGGGTTATAGAAAAACATCTCCGATTCTAGAAAAGTGACATCCAAAGTGACATAGGTTCGACGGGTCTGAGGGTGATAACATCGGTAGCCTTTCTGATGAGTGGCATAACCCAAAAAACACAACGAAGCGCACATGGATCAAGTTTGCTTCGTTGATTTTTGTGGAGATGAACGAAGGCCACACAGCCAAAAATGCGAGGGGTAAGCACCAAAACAGAGGGTAGAGGCCCATGTTGCGCCAGCACTTGTAATGGAGTTTTGAAGTTCAAGACCCCAGATGGCATGCGGTTGATAAGGTGGACAGCAGTGATGACAGCATCATCCCAATGATGACGAGGAACATGGCCACCAATGAGAAGAGCACGGGCAGTTTCAAGGAGATGACGATTCTTCCGTTCGGCAACACCATTTTGTTGTGGTGTCTGGGGACAAGTTGTCTCATGAATAATGCCATGTGTCTGGAAGTAAGTCTGAAAATCATGATTTACAAATTCTCCACCGTTGTCAGAGCGAAGAATCTGTATTCGAGCATTGAACTGTGTTTCCATCTGTTTGTGAAAGGATTGAAACAGGGAAAACACTTCATTCTTATTTTTCATCAAATAAAGCCATGTCATCCGTGTACAATCATCTACGAATGTGACAAACCAACGAATACCAGAATGAGTAGAAATAGGTGAGGGTCCCCAAACATCAGAATGAATTAAAGCAAAAGGAATATTACTTTTATTCATACTTAAAGGATAGGATGCTCTGTGACTCTTGGCTAAAATGCAAGTGTCACATTTAAAATCTGAGTCTTTAAATACAGAAAACAACTCGGGCAATAAGTGTCTCATATAACCAAAAGATGGATGCCCCAAACGTCGGTGCCAGAGCCAAATCTGTTTGTGCTTGTCATCAGACGGATGCTTTACACTATTGGCACGTCCCATACTGAAGTCCTCCACATAGTACAACCCCCCTCTTTTAGTACCACGCCCAATGATCTCCTTGGTGAGAATATCCTGTAGCAAACAAAAATTTGGATAAATTAGTGCACAACAATTGAGTTGTTCAGTTCCCTGGCTCACAGACAGTAATTTATTGGACAAAGATGGAACGAGGAGAGTATTAGAAAGGGACAGAGAAGGTGAAAGGGCGACAGTGCCGGCCCCTGTTACAGGATAGGTAACTCCATTTGCATTGGCAATACTTGTGCGGCGGGGTGTAGTGGTGTGCAAAAAATCATTTGGATCAAAGGTCATATGATCAGTGGCGCCAGAATCAATTATCCAACCAGTAGTATCTCGTATATCAGAAGTATGAAATGCATAACCGCAGTTACCTGAGACATCCGGAAGCGCAGGACTATCAGTAGGGTCTACCTGCGGGAACAAGGCTAATTGGGGTTCGGTAGAGACAAGAGCAGCACGGCCGGAATTACTAGCAGTTTCTCTGAGCTTGCGAGCGCGGAGGTCCTCCCACCAATCAGGATAACCATTCAGCTTAAAACAGGTGTCACGGGTATGTTTGGGATTGCCACAGTGCGTGCAACCACTTCCATCAGTCGGAGCCTTGGGACGGGAAGGTGGGATAGTTTTAGGAGGTGGCGCACCAGCAGCAGTAGCATATGATTGGATCTGAAGGTGGGCTGGAGTAGAGGAATTATGGGGCTGTCCGGCACGAGTAGGGGGACCTGATCGAGGCGCACTCTTCGCCGCTAAGCCAGCGCCAGTGGGTGCAGATGAACCCATCATCACTGCTTGTCGAACATCTTCACGGCGAACATAGGCATAAGCTTGGTCCACAGTAGGGAATGGAGTCATGTGAAGAACATCACTTCGGGCCTTATCAAGACGATCATCAAGGCCATCCAGAAATATGTAAACTCGATCTTCCTGTAGAATATCATTATACCGCTTGATATCATTTTCATACTCCATCATATTTGGACGACGGAAATCAATTTCTCTCCATAAGCTTTGGAGAGTATTGTAATAGGTTTCAATAGAGCCGTCAGCTTGTCGCATACGGGAGACTCGTCGTTTCAGATCATAAACCTGAGAGGTGTCAGTGCCATCATAGTAAGTTGTGGCAATTGCATCCCACACTGCTTTTGCCGTCGGAAAACGAATGAAATTGCCAATCAAGCTCTGCTCTAGAGAATTGATGAGCCATCCCTTTACAATAGAGTTCTCGGTGCGCCAGCGAGGAAACGTTGGAGCGGTCAAAGGAGGTTGTGGAAGATCACCATTAATATATCCCAATTTGTCTTTGCCGGAGATATACAACTCTACAACTTGGGACCATAGGGCATAGTTGGTGCCATCCAACTTTATGCCAATCTGTGCAGCGGAAGCTTCATAGGTAATCGTCGTCGGAATCGTTGTCTGATTCGGGTTCAAGGTCGTCGTCTGATTCGAGGTCGGGGTCGTCGTCTGAGTCGAGGTCGGGGTCGTCTTGGTAGGATCCTGGGTTAGGATCAAGTTCGAGGTCTGAGTTTGCATCTGCATTAGTTGAGCCACCTGGGCACTCAACTCGGCTATGGTTGGTTGAGAAGGAAAGGAGGAAGCAGTGGTGCTACCGCCATGAGGGTTAGAAGAGTCATCCTCCCCCATGGTAGCGGCTAGGGTTTAGAAACTAGAGTCAGCAATCCCAAGATCGCCGCTCTGATACCATGCTAAAATATGAGAACTATGATAGAATATTTGTTTGTGGGAATTTTCTATGTATTCTTCTCCTTGTAGGAGGTCATATTTATAATACAACAAAACCTGAATGGGCAAGTAAATAATAGATTCCTAAATCTATTTACAGTAGGAAATCAGGAATTAAAGTAAATCAATTACAATTATAATAGGAATCCTTGGTGTGTAAGGAAAGTAAGTCAATATCCACAAATCACGCCAACACATAAGGCAATAGAGACAACCCACAAGTTACCGAAGCCAGAGGAACTCAAGGGCGGACAATATTGCAGATGGCACAACTCTTGAAACCATTCCACCAATAGTTGTGTTGTTTTCAGGGATGTCATATAGGAAGGAATAACAGCAGGAAGGCTAAAACTAGCTGAGAAGCCTTCCTCAGTAACAACAGATCCTTTTCCCCAACCTCAGGTCAACATGGTCAACTTAAATTGGCCAGAACAGAAGAGAGGCAAACTAACAGCAAAAGCTAGCCCCAGCAGAGGCAGAAGAGTCACGAGAAAGGCCAATCAAAGGCCAAAGGCAACCATTTCGGCTGGGGTAGTCCTTTGCAGCAAGTGCAAATGTGAAAGTGAGTTAGAAGTGACTCTGGATAGGCAAAGTCAGCCCATACCTAGCGTTTTTGACAGGATTGGAACGTCATACCAACAGGGCTCAGTTCCGGCTCCACCTAGAGACAGAGCTAGATAGAAGGACTATCTAAGGCCTGCCCTACGCAACAGAAGAATGACAGAGCAGCCAAAGAAGGAAATACCAATTAAGATGCCCGTAAATGACAAGCCCTTGGCAACTATCATAGAAGAAAGATGGTATTCTGTTGAAAAAAATGGTAGACCAACTCTGGAACTAACTAGAACACAAAAGAGGAGAGTTCAGAGGCAATACTGCACCTTCCTCAAAAGCAAGGACAACACACAGGTACTTTCAGAAACCAATTATGCAGCAAAAGGAAAAATCTAGAAATAGATTCTCACGCAGAATGGATAACACATCAAATAGAAAAGATGAAGACATAATCTCCAGGCAAATCTCCTATCCAACATGCCTCGCCCACAAGAAACCAATTAGAACCTTCACAGTCACAGGGACAATCCGGACCTATTCCAATAGAAGGACGAGAAGACTGGACTGAAGAATATGGACAAGAACAGATGGAATACGATGGAGAACTGGATGAGGAGACTGAGGCATTCGGTGTAGAGTTAGAATGCCTATTACAAGGTGATCTAGGCATTAACATGGTCTTTATCGTATCAGAAAAGTTCAGAGCAGCAGAAGGACAAGAAAACACTTTGGAAGGAGATGTGCTCTCCCAAGAAGCTTTTGAGTGCAAATTGGCAGAAGTAGAAGAGGCTTTAGAACAGCAAACACCTACTACTAAAACAGGCAGAACTGCCATGAAATTGGCTACGGAACAACTCTATTTCTCCAAACCCACAAAGGAAATAGTCAATCACCTCAGGCCTTTGTTCATAACAGCAAACTTTGGGGGTGTTCTTATTCCCAACGTGATGGTAGATGGAGGTGCACCAATTAATCTTCTGCCTCACAGATTGCTGATCAAGATGGGCAGAATAGAAAACGATTTAATTCCAACACGCTTGATAGTCACCAATTTTGATGGGGGCATCACTAAGACTCTTACAATGCACTGCTTGGCAGGGACTGGATCTACCAGAGTCTATGTGTTCCTTTCACTCTGCACCAGCAGTTAGCCCTCTGACATGAAGAGGGTTTTATGGAAATTGTAGAGGCTAACCCACGGCCATTTCTGCCATCTGCATTAATGTTTTGAGGCCAAATATTATCATGATGACCTTGGTCCTTTCACTTTCTTTGGAGTTAACTAGAATGGCCGTCCTTATGGTGTCACGGCCCAGAAACTCATTGAAGAATTTCTGGCTAGTTCTCTAGAGGACTAGAATAGACCCTGCATTCTCAACCCCCACAGTTCTGATGTTTAGCTCAAACCAACAGGAAAAGGATCGAGCTGCAACAATCTGATCCATTACAAATAGATTGTTGGTATATTGGGAAGAAAGGAAGCTCTTCATGCATAATCCAGCCATTAACATGGCAAAATTCATGCATGAGAGTATGGAAGAACAGGAAGGAAATCTGAAAATTGTTAGAACAACCACTGAAGGATGAAATCATTGCAATTCTACATGATTTGAAGACTGTTTTGCATGGCATTATCATGAAATGCCTAGACTAGATAGAGGACTGGTGGAGCACAAGTTGCTAATAAAAGAAGGATACCTACCAGTCAAGCAGGCCAAAAGGAGGATGTTTATGGAGACAGAACTGAAAGTTAAAGAAGAAGTGGAGAGACTGGTTAAAGCAAGTTTTATTAGGCCAGCCATTTATGCTGATTGGTTGTCCAATATTGTACCAGTTCTTAAAAAGAAGACAGGGGCAGTCAGAATATGTGTGGACTACAGGAATCTGAACGAAGCATCTCCCAAAGACGAGTATCCAATGCCTATGGCAGACATGCTAGTAGACGGAGCTGCTCATAATCAAATGATGCCATTCATGGATGGCAATGCAGGATACAATCAAATAATGGTGGCAGAAGAGGACATCCACAAGATAGCCTTCATGTGTCCAGGGCATATAGGTGATTTTGAATGCACTATAATGCCTTTTGGCTTGAGAAATGCAGGAGCCACTTATCAAAGAGCAATGAATTCTATTTTCCATGACATGATAGGTCATTCTCTAGAGGTTCATATAGATGATGTGGTGATTAAATCCCCAGAAAAAGGAGATCATGTATCAAATCTAAAAAAGGCATTCCTAAGAGTGAGACAACACAAAGTGAAAATGAATCCCAAGAAATGTGTTTTTGGGGGTTCAAGCTGGCAATTTCTTAGGTTTCTTGGTCCACCAAAGAGGAATAGAAATCGACAGGAACAAAGCAAAATCTATCATGGAAGCTTTGCCACCTCAAAACAAGAAAGAATTGCAGAGTCTCTTTGATAAGGTCATAATTTCACACATTTGCATGCCTTCTTTGCTTAGTAATTTTGTTTAGCTTCTCTTTATTTTGAGTCTCTTACCTATGTTTGTGTGTTTTGCAGGTTAAGACAGCAAGAGATCACAATTGATGCAATCCTTGCTTGTTAAGGGCTGATTGGGACAAGAGGAATATGAGCTTAAAGAAAAACCCAATTTGGGCCGCACTCCTAGTCAGTTCAGTTTCGTAGGTCATCTTGCAGGCCACATTTTAGGAACTTACTCAGGTTGGATGAGGAGTTATCCTTGATAGAGGTTGTTCCAATGGGTGTCTATTATAACATATACAAATTTCAGCCCAATTGGATAAATCTGGAGCCCTCAACACGTCAATGACTGAACCAAGTTCATAGAAATGTCATGTTGGCTGCCATCACATTAAAGTGGCTACATCCCTAGAGCCATGTGCTACACATGGGTAGCCATACATGGGAGTCAAATCAGCTCAAGAACTCAGAAGGATGAACAAAAAGTCAAGCTTTCCATAAAGAAACCATACCAAAGCATGTATTTGGCAGCTAAAGCAGTTGGCAAGTATGGGCAGCCGGAGTAGTTGGGAGCAGCTAAGAGAGGTGTGCTTCACCAGCCAAAGGGGAGGACGAAATTGCACTCTATAAATAGAGAGCTGCCCACTCATTCAAAAGGAGAGTCAGATACACATTTTCACTTCATCCATTACTCTCATACACATTCAGATTCACCACAAAGAGATAAGAGAGCTTGGAGCTGTCCTGGGAACTACATTGCTGCCAACTAGTTCTTCTCTTCTCTTTATTCTATCTATGTATTTCTTATTTTCTTTATTCATAGTTATGTCTAACTAATCCATTTAGTTAGGGCTTAGGATGAAGCCCTAGTCATGAATATTCAATGTTATGGATGATTTTATAGTTAATTGATTTCCTTGCTTTCATTATCAAGTTGTTAATCTCCAATTTATTATGTGCTTGATGTATGTTTTCTTGGAGTAGCTAACTAGGATTTTATGCATCTAGCACATGTTGGGAAGGGGTTTAGATTCACCAATTCTACTCTCCTTTCACAAGCAACATACGAATGGCCTAAGAATCAATCAAGGGTTTAATAACCATAGGTTGACTAGGATAGATACCATGTTCTAGGACTTGTGTGATTGTCATATTCTCAAGGAGCTTAATGACTCTTGTATGCTTTATTCTAAGTAGATACCATGCTTAGGTTGCATATTAGAGATCACGTGTTGTGTAGATACCATGCATAATCACATGCCTTAGGAGAATCATGCATCCTACACCTAGATACCATAGGCTTGTATGCGATAATTTATTGTTGATGAAGCTTGAGTCAATTTCTATGCATTCATAACTTGGATAGACAACTAGTGGTGGATTCCAACGCTCTAACACCTTTCAATCATTGTTTCACAACTTTTTGATTGCTGCCAGTGTTTACTTTCGAGCACTTTCATTTCACTTTCTTCTTTTCATTTCAACAACAAAACCCCCCATTTCGAGTGCATGTGTGGCGCTAGGATTCTGTCCTAGACCTTGAGTAATTAGCAAGAGGCATTGTTGAATTCGACCTTGCCTTTAGCTAGTTAGTCAGTTTCTTTGTTCTATGTTTTTCTAGCATTCTAAGTAATTTAACTTGGAACCAAGTTACCATTCTCCGTGGGATCGACCTTGTATTTACATAAGCTATACTATAAATGGTTCGTGCACTTGTGAGAATTAAAGTTGCTGTTTTTAATAACTCATTTTAATTGTTAAGAATTGGCTCAACAAGTTTTTGGCGTCGTTGCCGGGGAACTGGTAACGATGGTGCTATAGTTAGATTACTTTGATTGTTTTGTTTTTGTTTGTTTCAATTGTTTCTTTTCATTGGTTTTTCTTTTAGTATTCAGTTTTTGTATTTAGTTGTTATCCCCATTGAAAACACTGAATTGAGTTCCTTTGTATCTATGTCCGAATTTGACCAGGAGCAAAGTTCACCTGAGCCACTTTCACCAAGAACCGCTACTGTACGTGCTGGTTTGAGGAGAAATTATAGTTCTTCAAGCACTGATTCTAAGAGTTACGAATCTGAAGGTTCAAGCAAGATGGCAGAGATTCCGAACAACAACAATAATGTTGAAGGAGGTGGTGCGCTTGTTGTCCAACCTCGAAAACCCCTGCGTGAGTTTTCCATTCCCAAAGTCACCGATCAACCTTCGTGCATCGTCTATCCTCAACTCACAGTTGATAGGTTTGAGCTTAAAAGTGGTATGATTCATCTTCTTCCAACTTATTATGGTAATACCACTGAGGATCCTTACATGCATATTAAGCAATTCTTTGAAATATGTGCTACGATCAAAATTCAAGGCCTTGATGATAAGCAGATTAAGATGAGGCTATTCCCATTCAGTTTAAAAGATAAAGCTAAGTCTTGGTTATACTCTTTGCCTAATGCTTCAATTCATACTTGGGAAGAGCTTTCTAATAAGTTTTTGCAGAAATTCTTTCCGGCTCAAAAGACTAACAAGATTAGAAAGGAAATCCTTGGTTTCACACAAAAGGAAGGAGAAGCTTTTCATGAATGTTGGGAGAGGTACAAGGAGATGATAAGTTCTTGCCCACACCACAACATAGAGAGTTGGATGCAAATGCAATCTTTCTATGAAGGTTTGCTTGATTCCGAAAGGATGATGGTAGATGCAACAAGTGGAGAAGGACTGATGAACAAAACAGCAGATGAGGCTTTTACTCTCTTTGAATCCTTGAGTGCTAACTCTCAACAATGGAGCCACAATAAAGGAAGAGGAGCTCCTATGAAAGCTGTGGTCTTTGAGGTAAGTACTAATAATGAGATTGCTGCAAAACTTGATGTTATGTGTTCTTTGCTCCAACAGGCAGTGACTGGCCCTCTAGGAAACAAAGTGGAAGTTTAAGATCAATCTTTTGCAGAGCACATGCTAGAACAAGCAAATTCCCTTCAAGCAAGGAATCCTAATAATGATCCTTACTCAAACACGTACAATCCGGGGTGGAGAAATCATCCTAATTTCAAGTGGAGCAACAATCCAAATGTGCAACAATCTCAAGGACCTCCCCCAGGATTTCAAATACAACAAAGGCAATTCCAGCAAGCTCCCCAATGACTGCAAGAGCAAAGGGGTGATCAAATGGGAGAATTGCAAGACATGTTCAAGAATTTCATGGGGCAACAGATGCAAACCAATTAGAATCTTCAAAATGCAGTGAACAAGCTAGAAGTGCAAGTTGGGCAGGTTGCATCCTCCTTGAGCAATAGAGCATCCGGAACATTTCCAAGCCAAACGGAGGTAAATCCAAGACATCAAGAGCATGCTAAAGCAGTACACATCTTGAGAAGTGGTAAACAAGTTGATAATAAGGTTGGAGATGCCAATGAAGAGCAAGAAGATGGAGAACACGTGGAGATCATTCAGCCACCACATGGGCAGCCCACAGCTTCCTACAAACAGTCCCTCAATCCTTCTAGAAAGAGCACAAACCCTAAGGTATCATCTAATATTAATCAAGTTCCAATTTCAACTAATGCTTTTAGGCCTATTGCACCCTTTCCCAGCAAGTTATCAAAGTCAAAGAAAGATCAAGGCTTGGATGAGATAATGGAAACATTCAAGAAGGTGCAAATCAACATCCCATTGCTCAATGCCATTGCTCAGATTCCAAAGTATGCAAAATTTTTGAAGGATCTATGCACTAACAAGAGGAGATTGAAAGAGCATGAACAAGTTGCATTGAGTGAAGAGGTAAGTGCAGTGTTACAAAGAAAGCTACCTCCAAAGCTAAATGATCTAGGTTCGTTTTCTATGCCTTGCATAGTTGGTGATTTTAAGTTTAAAAAAGCTTTGCTTCATCTTGGTGCTTCTATAAATCTTATGCCTATCATGTTTATGAGAAACTTAACCTTGGTGCGTTGCAAGCCACAACTATGAGCATTCAATTGGCAGATAGAACTATTCGGTACCCCAAGGGCATTCTAGAAGACATTTTGGTGAACGTAGAAGGTTTAATCTTGCCAGCTGATTTCTTAGTCTTGGAGATGGAAGAAGCACCAATTCCTGACAATGAATTGCCCCTTATCTTTGCCCGACCCTTCATGGATACTGCTAAGACCAAGATTGATATAGAGCAAGGCACTCTCACCATGACCATTAATGGAGAAACTATTGCCTTCAAAGTGTTTGATGCCCTGAAGCCAAATGTTGTACAAGATTGTTTTCAAATTGAAGTATTTGGTAATCTAGGAAAAGAGAGATTTGATGGCCTTCCATATTCAGTAGAATCATGCTTGCTGGAAATAGGAGACAAGGAGAAGCAGGGGGCAGCCCACATGTTCAATACTATGATTCCCACATACAAGAAGGGGCTGCCCAAATTTGGAGATGTGAATATTCCAATCATTCCTATAATTCATTGTGATTCTATTCATAAACAGAAAAGGAAAAGAAAAGCAGCAAGGAAGCAATGGAAAAGGAAAACAAGCTTAGTGAACTCTCTTGCATTGCATGAGGTTGATTGAGCTTAAACCCCCCCCCCCCCCCACCCCACCCCCCCCCCCCAATTCTATAGAAAGTTTGGATGTCCGGCTGAAGACATAAAACTTAGCACTTCTTGGGAGGCAACCTAAGGTGACGAGGAGAAGATAGAATATACGAGGAAGCTTGCTTGCGTCCTACTCGCTTCAAAAGGGAGTTTTTCTGAACTCTAACCTTTGGTTATGTCTTTCCCTTATCTTCTTTCCTTTCATTTATGAGGCATTTCTTTTCTTACACTCGAAACATTGAGGACAATGTTTCATTTAAGTTTAAGGGGAAGGATTTAGTTATGTTGTTTCAAATTGTCAAATTTTAAAATTTTGAGTGTGTCTAATGGCCAAAAACGCAGGATTTTGTGTGTTGTTTCATTATCCTTCCAAACACCTATGATAAGACTTGGATTTAATACTAATATGGTTTCTCATAAATTGATAGTCATTGTTTAAGGACTTTGTGTGGTTCTGAGTTAACTCTGTCTTGCATGCCATCCTTGCACTTATTGAGCACTTTGCCAAGTTAGTCCAATTTCTTGCTACTTGGAGACGTTATGCAATTCTAATTATCTCATGATCTTGGTTTTGTACTCTAGAACTTATTTGAATATCTCTTGAGACATTTTGTTGCCATACAATGCTTAGGAAGTGATTTAGGCCATGTTTGAACCGTTTGAGCCTTTCTAACCATCCCTCTACATGTATTCATCCCTAGTCAACCCATTTGAGCCTACGTTAAGCCTTCTTTGTGTAAACCATTCCTACCATAATGAACCTCTGTTTTCTTATTCTTACTTATTCTATGAGCAATTAAAGCTATCTTCAAAAGAGAGTTATAAAGAATGCAAGGTTTTTGGAGCAAAAGTGAATCAATAGTGCCATAACCCAAGTGTTGAAAAGAAATAACTTTGGGGGTATTGGTAACTAATCAAAAGAGGTAATGAAGTGTGACCAATGTAGTAACGGCCCTAGGGTGTTATAAAAGAGAAGATCATGGTGACCTAGGGTAAAGAGCCACAAAATTAGGCCAAATAAACAAATATGAAGGTGCTGAAATTCTGTTGAAAATATGCTCATGTATATGTTCCCTGCTTGTTACAAAGATCAGTAATCTCTCATGCTCTTACTTATGCTTTAGTTGTTCTCAAGATATTGTTATATATCCATATCCCCTCTTTCATTCAAACACTACCCTAAGCCTCATTACGACCCTTGTAAAGTCCTTTTGATCCTTGGAATTATATGGCATTACTGTGGAGAGCTGATTTGATAATGAGCTTATGGGGTTTGGAATTCGTTATTTTGCTCTAAGTGTGTGCACATGTACTTATTTGAGTTGCAGGTGTTGTTCTGATTTGGCATTCACACACTACACTTAAGGGTGTCATTGTGAGCTTTGCTTTCTCGTGAATCATGTATGGAACTTAGATTGTGATTGTTGTGTTTCTTTGGAACCATATACGTTGATGATTCTTTGAGGATATTGTTTGGAAGGCTAGTTGCTTATTTCCTGTTTCCTAAGTTGTAGTTTTATTTTGTTTTGCTCGAGGACTAGCAAAATCTAAGTTTGGGGGGGAATTTGATAAGGTCATAATTTCACACATTTGCATGCCTTCTTTCCTTAGTAATTTTGTTTAGCTTCTCTTTATTCTGAGTCTCTTACCTATGTTTGTATGTTTTGTAGGTTAAGACAGCAAGAGATCGCAATTGATGCAATCCATGCTCGTTAAGGGCTAATTGGGACAAGAGGAATATGAGCTTAAAGACAAGCCCAATTTGGGCCGCACTCCTTGTCAGTTCAGTTTCGTAGGTCATCTTTCAGGCCTCATTTCAGCAACTTACTCAAGTCGGATGAGGAGACATCCTCGATAGAAGTTGTTTCACTGGGTGTCTATTATAACATATCCAAATTTCAGCCCAATTGGATAAATTTGGAGCCCTCAGCACATCAATGACTGAACCAAGTTCACGGAAATGTCATGTTGGCTGCCATCACATTTAATATGGCTACATCCCTAGAGCCATGTGTTACATGTGGGCAGCCATACATGAAAGTCAAATCAGCTCAGGAACTCAGAAGCATGAACAAAAGTCAAGCTTTCCATAAAGAAACCATACCAAAACATGTATTTGGCAGTTGGCAAGTATGGGCAGCTGGAGCAGTTGGCAAGTATGGGTAGCTGGAGTAGTTGGGAGCAGCTAAGAGAGGTGTGCTTCACCAGCCAAAGGGGAGGACGAAATTGCACTCTATAAATTGAGAGCTGCTCATTCATTCAAAAGGAGAGTCAGATACACATTTTCACTTCATCCATTACACTTATACACACATTCAGATTCACCACAAAGAGATAAGAGAGCTTGGAGCTGTCCTGGGAACTACATTGCTGCCAGCTAGTTCTTCTCTTCTCTTTATTCTATCTATGTATTTCTTATTTTCTTTATTCATAGTTATGTCTAACTAATCCATTTAGTTAGGGCTTAGGATGAAGCCCTAGTCATGAATATTCAATGTTATGGATGATTTTATAGTTAATTGATTTCCTTGCTTTTATTATCAAGTTGTTAATCTCCAGTTTATTATGTGCTTGATGTATGTTTTCTTGGAGTAGCTAACTAGGATTTTATGCATCTAGCACATGTTGGGAAGGGGTTTAGATTCACCAATTCTACTCTCCTTTCACAAGCAACATATGAATGGCCTAAGAATCAATCAAGGGTTTAATAACCATAGGTTGACTAGGATAGATACCATGTTCTAGGAATTTTGTTATTGTCATATTCTCAAGGAGCTTAATGACTCTTGTATGCTTTATTCTAAGTAGATACCATGCTTAGGTTGCATATTAGAGATCACGTGTTGTGTAGATACCATGCATAATCACATGCCTTAGGAGAATCATGCATCCTGCACCTAGATACCATAGGCTTGTATGCAATAATCTATTGTTGATGAAGCTTGAGTTAATTTCTATGCATTCATAACTTGGATAGAAAACTAGTGATGGATTCCAAGGCTCTAACACCTCTCAATCATTGTTTCACAACTTGTTGATTGTTGCCGGTGTTTACTTTCGAGCACTTTCATTTCACTTTCTTCTTTTCATTTCAACAACAAAAATCCCTCATTTCGAGTGTGTGTGTGGTGCTAGGATTCTGTCCTAGACCTTGAGTAATTAGCAAGAGGCATTGTTGAATTCGACCTTGCCTTTAGCTAGTTAGTCAGTTTCTTTGTTCTATGTTTTTCTAGCATTCTAAGTAATTTAACTTGGAACCAAGTTATCATTCTCTGTGGGATCGACCTCATATTTACATAAGCTATACTATAAAGGGTTCGTGCACTTGCGAGAATTAAAGTTGTTGTTTTTAATAACTCATTTTAGTTGTTAAGAATTGGCTCAACAAGTTTTTGTTAGGAAAAATTAACTTTCTGAGAAGATTCATATCCAATTCTGCAGGAAAAATCCAACCCCTCTCCTCCTTGTTAAGATTAAAGCAGGAACAGACATTTAAGTGGGAAGAACAACATCAGTAGGCTTTTGAGGAAATCAAACATTACCTCTCAAATCCACCAATTTTGTCCCCCCCAAAGAGAGGCAGACCACTCAAGTTATATGTTTCTGCATCAGAACTATCCATTGGGAGTCTGTTAGTTCAAGATAACAAGGAAGGAAAGGAACAGGCAGTCTATTACCTGAGCAGAACTCTGACAGAAGTACAAAGGAAATATTCTATAATTGAAAGACTTTGTTTAGCTTTGTACTTTACTGCTATAAAACTCAGACATTACATGCTACCTTCACCACCTACATCATTGCCAAAACAGATCTAATCAAATACATGCTAACAAGGCCAATGTTGAGAGGGAGGATTGGTAAATGGACTCTGGCCCTGTCAGAATTTGCCTTCAGATATGTTCCTTAGAAGTCCATCAAGGGACAAGCTGTTGCAGATTTCTTGGCAGATCATCCAAGTGAAGAAATTGAGAATATGGATTCTATGGACATAGCCAATGCAGATCTATTGACCAGAGCGCACACCTGTCTCAACAATCCCATTTATTCAGTCCATCACGCCCCTTGGAAGCTATACTTTGATGGATCTAAAACAGACTCAGCCTCTGGGGCAGGAATTGTTTTAGAAGATCCACTAACAATCAAACATTGTTATTCATTCCAACTAGATTTCCAGTGCACCAACAACAAGGTAGAATACGAAGCTTTAATCATAGGACTAGAGATGCTAATGGAACTAGTAATCCAATCTGTCGAAATTCTGGGAGATTCCATGCTTGTGCTAAAACAGATTGCTGGAGAATACAAATGTTTGAGCCCCTCTCTAGCTGTCTATCTTCTGGCAACCAGAAATCTCTTGACAGAATTTAGGGAAGCCACTTGGGAACACATTCCAAGAGAAGAAAACTTTGCAACTAATGAGATGGCCCAGATAGTAATAGGAGTATAGATGCCTGAAGGCTGGGTGTAGAGAATCATCAAGGTAGGAAAGAAAAGCCTACCATCTGTCCTAACCAGAGGAATGGAAATAGATGTCAACACTATCATGATGACTAAAGAAGATTGGAGATTACCTATAATTAATTACCTGCAGTATCCAACCCTTCCCACTGAAAAATGGATTAGAATCATACTACCTCATGTGGAATGGAGATTTGGTCTGGAAGAGCAAAGATGAGTTACTTTTGAGGTGCTTAGGGAAAGAAGAGTATATGAAGGTCATGGGAGAAACCCATGAAGGAATTTGTGGAGTTCATCCGGGTGGAAGGAAGATGTGTTGGTTAGTTAGAAGGTATGGCTACTTCTGGCCATCCATGATGAAAGATTGCATTGAATATTCCAAAGGATGTGAAGCTTGTCAGAGGCATGGCCCAATCCAACAGGCTCCTTCAGTCCCCATGAATCCAGTAGTTAAGTCATGGCCATTCAGAGGATGGGCAATGGATCTTATTGGAAAAATCTACCCAGCTAGTAGCAAGCAACACTGTTTCATCATTGTAGCTACAGACTATTTCACCAAATGGGTGGAAGCCAAACCTGTTAAATCTAGTACATCTTAAGAGATCATCACCTTCATAGAAGAACAGATTATACAAAGGTTTGGTATTCCAGAATCAATCACAACTGACAGAGGATCTTCTTTCATATCTGGAGAAATGTTAGATATGGCAGAAGCATTCAAGTTCAAACTACTTCAATCCACTCTTTATTATGCTCAAGCTAATCGACAGGCAGAATCAAGTAACAAGGTGATCATCAACATTATCAGGAAAATGCTTGAGAAAAATCTAAAGCAATGGCATGAGAAATTATCAGAAACTCGCTAGGCATATAGAACTTCAAAGAGAGATGCAACTGGCAGGACCCCATATGCTCTAACCTATGTTCATGATGCAATTCTGCCTATGGAAATAGCAGTCCAATCTCTTAGAATTGCTCAGCAACACAACCTGGTTGGAGAAGACTATTCTCAAGCAATGCTGCTAGAACTAGAAGGTTTGGATGCTAGCAGAATTGACACCCTCAATAAACTCTTAGCAGGAAAGCAAGCTGTATCAAGGACCTACAATAAAAGAGTTAAAAACAAGAGTTTTGAAGAAGGAGAAATAGTCTGGAAAGCAGTTCTGCCCCTTGGAACACACATAACTGGTTATGGAAAGTGGTCACCTACATGGGAATGACCTTTCATAATTAAGCAAGTCCTTGGATTGGGGGCATACAGATTACAGGATCGAGATGGAGATATCCATGCAGCACCAATCAATGGCAAATTATTGAAGAAGTTCTATTCAACTATGTGGGATTCACATGCAATGCAAACAGATCCTGGGATTGAAAAAGAAAAGGATAGAACTGTTATTTAAATTCTTGTTCAGAGTTGTACTCTAAATTTACTTTAGTTTATTTTCACCTTCTTTCGTTTTATTTAGGCAAAAGAAATCAAAAATGCAAAAGTTCCACAGAAATAAATAGCTTTTATTAAATATAGTCATTTTCCATGACTAAATTTATTACATTCAGAAAACCAAAATTAAAGCCCTAGTTTTCTAAGGTTTTCTTGCAGTCCGGTCTTCTTAGTAGAAATTTCTTGCTGGAGAAGCATCCCTTGATGGAGAGAAGCCTCTGCAATCTCCAATGCTGGCCTAGAGGCCGAGACCATGTTCTGAACAAGAAAAGTGGCCTTAGTCTTGGTACCCAATCCAGCCACAAGCTTGTTTTGCTTCTCCCTCAGTCCAGCCAGCTGCTCTTGAAGTTCTTCAATATACTTCTCCAGCTTATCAGCAACAGTCTTAGCCTCCTTGTAGTCAGCAACCAGAATATCCAATTCTGCTTTTTGTTTTTGATAATCAGCCAGGTTGGCTTCATGCATAGCCTTGTAGAATTCAGAGGCATTGAAGGAAGGCATGAGATCTTCGTAACGAGTGTGGAGATTGAGCACATCTCTTGCCAGGACTAAGCTGAGCTCGAGGATAGGTCTAGGAGCCATGTTCTCCCTATGCAACAGGTCCAGATCCTTCATCAGTTGGTCAACAGCTTCTCTATTCTCATCCAAGTCCAGCTCAGTTGACTGCCATATTTTACTTTGTCCACTGCCTCATCCACTGCTTTGGACTTAGCCTTACCAGGAGTAGAGCTAAATTTTTCTAGCTTATCCAGCTGAGCATCTAGAGCCATGGATTCAAACTCTGCCATTCTGGATCAGCAAATGAGGTCGTGGCTGGTGAACTAGGGATAGAATGGATAGGAATCTACAAAAGGAACTCAAGTCAGTTTCATGCAAAACTAAAATCAAAGGGAAGCTCAAGAACAAGCAAACACTTACAGCTACAATAAGAGGCTTGAGAGGACTGATTGCCACGGTCAGAAGTCCAGCAGTTCTATCTTTTTCCACCTGAAAAGGACAAAGACATTAGAAGCAAGATAGAACAAAACTGCAGAAACCAGGCAGTCAAAGGCAGAACAAAAATTACCTCAAGTACAGGAACAACAATAGGGTGTTTTGCCTCCCCTTCAGGCTCTGGAACAGCAACAGAATGTTCTGCCTCCACGTCATCAGATAAAGCCAACTCTGAGCTAGTGGGTTCTGTCCTTTGAGCTTCCTGATGTTGCTTAGCCAAGGCAATACTCTCTGCTATCACCTCAACAGGAATCTCCTCCTGTAGAAGGATAGAAGTCAGAACATAATAACAAGTACAAAAATCTAATTAAGGAGCTGAAAACATGAACTCACATCATCTTCCACCTTTTTGGTTTTCTCCTGAACTCCTTCCACAACATCTTTCTCTTGCTCCACAGCCTCAAAAGCCTCTCTCAACTCCTTATCAGTTCCAGAGGTAGTTGTAGGAGCTACTACAGATTCTGTGGCCACATATTCCACCACAGTCCTCTTCCTAAGTCTTTTCGACGTAGTAAGAGGAGGGGGAGAATTTTCAGCTACAGGAACATAAGATAAAAGTCAGAACAGATAAATTGAATTGAGTAGAACAGAATCAGAACATTCTTTCGACCTGAGTTCTCAAGCTGGACGACACTATCCAGAGCCTGGGCAGTTTCCTTCCTCTTATTCCCTCTAGCTGAAGGAGTTGTCTCAACACTTGTTTGTTCTGCCAGAGTCTCTTGTGCATCCCCTTCATCTCCAAAAGGGAGTTCCAAATCTCCAGCAACTATGACAGAAATGATGGCACAGAGAAGAAAGGATTAGAAGGCAATCTAGCAAGAAAATATAATACAACAGAATTCAGGGACTTACTAATCACTTCTCCAGCCTGGACAACCTGGCCCCCAATGTTCTTTGTCAAAGAAGGATCTGATTCAAAAAGACCAAATCATTAGACACCATCACATAAGCAAGATGAAGTAAATACATAAAGAGTAAAGGAAAAGAGGCAGAATTAGGAATCTACCTTCCATAACTTGAGCATTGATGTCCTTAATGGTCTGCACCATAAATCTGTGGGTTTCATCTCCTGCATGAACAGCCCAGGAATCCCAGCCATCAAAAAGCACTTTGAGGGTAGTACTTGAGGCAGGCAAACCTTGGAATCTGGCTTTCCACCAAGCATCAAACTCAGCAGAACTACATGAATTAGGTTCCCATGATGGATAAAGAGCATCTGCACTATTGTTTATCTTGTTCACCGAGCACCTGGCATCCTTATGCACTTCCAGATCATTCGAATCCCTCCAGGAAGTGGCCCGACTGCAGCTTCTGTATGATTTAAGCGGAATAAGCTGAGGGCAACCAAGCTGCCTTGCACAGAAGTTGGGGTGGTACACTTCTGCCCCCGAATGATAATTTGGAGGCTTCCCACCCCCAAAAGGCAGGTCTCGGGGCAGAGTCACGCTCAGGAACTTCTTCCTGAAGTCTATTATGGCCACTTCTTCTTATGTTTCCTTTTCAAATAGTCTGAACCCAGGGTGGAACCAAGGATAGGTCCTTCTAATCACCACTTTCCACTGAGCTGCAGATCTCTTAGTACAGTGCCTAAAGAACATCATGTACTCTTTAATTGACTTCTTGGGCACTTCTACTGACATTAACAGAAGCGCCAGAACTTGATCTTCAGGCATAACTATATCTGGGAACCTCAGTTTTTGAAAGTACACCTGCAGCCAGATCTGGATCATCCAGAATGCACCAGGAGCAGACAAGTTCAGGGGATTCTCCAAGGTTGCAGTATGGAGATTTTTGAACAGATGAGCCAGAACTCTGGGCCCAAGCCCCACATCCGTGTGATTGTGCAGAGCTTCTGCCAGATGCTTGTACTCAAGCAGAACTGCCGATGAGCGATTTGGGAAAATGAACTTGTTCAGCCAGTACAAGAGGAACATCATATGTTATTGACCCTTGTCCTTCTCGGTACTGAATTTCTTTAGGTAGTTGGAGAAAGAGCAGTTCTAGTTGATTGTGGCTGGAGAGATAGTGAAGGGCTTCGCTAGCTTTTCCTTATTCTTCCTCCTGTGGTAATCACCAACTGCATCCATAGGTCTTCCATGGGGTCTGAACCTAAAAATCTGAGCCATATCCAGCAGAGTTGGAGTCATTAGGCCAAGGCAGAACTCGAAAGTGTTGCTAGCAGAATTCCAGAAGCACAGAGCGACAGCCAGAAGGTTCTCATCTCTGTTTATCAACTGCTTGGACAGAAGAATAACATCATAAATTCCAGTCCTCTTCTAGTGAGCTCCATACCTTAGAAGGAGCCTGTCAATCCAATCTGCCCATTTCACTGGACTATTCCTCACTTCATTTGATGGAAAAGAGCGACTCGGGTTCTTGTTGACCCAAGTATGGGATGCCATGGCAGAAGAACTCTGAAAACACAGAGGAGGTTCAGTGTCACCCTTGAACAATTCTACCATTTCAGCAGGAACATGGCCAAACCAGTGAGGGCCTAGAACTAAGGTATTTTCAAACAAGTGAATGACATTTTCATCCAGGTTCTTCTGGGCAAATGGATGGAGCTTGCTTCGAACCTCTATTGCATGGTTAATAACACCAGCCCCAGAGATATAAGCAGGAGGAAGAGAAGGGGAAGCTTTGGCATGGGTCATTGCAGATGACATTTTCAAAATACGACCAAAGAGGGGAAATCAAAGTTTGGTGGCAGAAAGGAACAAAGGATTCTAAAAGAAATCAGAGTCTGAAAGAGTTAGGGTATTTTGGATGAACAGGAGCTGAGGATTTGAATTTCATTTAAAGGTTCGGAATCGTGGGAAGAAGAAGGCAAGACATCATCTAAATGATGGCTAGCTAGCAAACTAGCTAATGACTACCCAGTTTCCCACGAAGTCTGGTTCAGTAGACAAGACGTGGCAGACGTGGGTTGATTAAAACGGAAGAGAGTGGTGCGCAACATTAATGGCCAATTGATTCAAATCTGAACCGTTAGAAATTGGAAACCATTTTCCAAAAAACAGTTCAGATTCAAGGGGGCATTGTTTGGGCCAAAATTATGCACACCCAGCCCAGTGCTGGAGGCCTAGAAAGACAAAGCAATATCAGAATCCAAGCAGTTTGGACCCTTTTGTTTAAATTGGAATCAAGAGCCCAAAATCGAGAAAGCCCAGTCCAGGACCTGTCAACCCATGAGAATAAGCTTGCGCTTTGAAAAACAGAGAAAAGAAGTCAGCCCACAGTCCCAAAACTCAACCTGGGCTTGGCATGATCAAATGAAAAGAAAAAAGCCCAAAATAGAAACAAACCCATGTGACTACCTGACTTTGAAAAGTCAACAATTTCAACTGGATTGATAGCGAGTTAATGAAGGCAGGTCTTAAACAGGCAAAAGTCTCTAGCCTTTTCAGTCAAAAAAAGATCAAAGTCCCTTTCTATATAAATTCTACATCAGGCATCATTTTCAAGGGATAAGCAGACTATATTTTCTAAAGAGATAAGTAGGGTGCAGGGAGTTGTTCATTTGGAAAATCAAATTAACCATCACGGCAGATTGAACTCTTACAAAGAGGAGTTAAAGGTCAAAAAGGGATTAGGTTTTCTTTCATAAAAATAGAGAGGTGATCACCATAAAGAACTAACTGTTGATGGTTCTTCTTTTAAAAAATCCTGTCGCCCATTATTAAAAGATTAGAAGCCCCACTCTAGCATTTTCTATAAATATGAGAGGAGATGAACAGATTAGGACGGCCAAAAAATCAATCAAAAACAAAAAACTCAAAATGATCACTTGATCTCAAAAATCCTTCAAAACACTTAAGCAACCAAAGTTCATTGAGCCACAACAAACAAGTCAGCTAGAATTCAGAATATCTAGAGTCAGTTCAGTTTCAGAGAAATAGTCATACAAAGCGAGACTTCTCTCGTTACAAATTTGGTTTAGCTTAAGCCAAATCAAGCAGAGTTCAGGTTTACAAATATGAAAACCTCAACAAATTTATGGAGAGCCCTGATCAAGCAGAACAGGTACTACAGTGCAGTTCCAGCTCAGTAATCATCGAATCCAGCCACTTCTGCCCTCTCTAGACTAAAGAGGTTCCAATTCTGCCTGTTCAAAAACCCTTCCAGGGCTTGAAATAAATTAAAGCTCTGCCAAACTCGAACGTTGGTATGGATTTATAGTTGAAACTTGACAGTTGAAGGTGTTGATAGTCCAGTCCAGCACAGACAAACCCAATCCAGCCCGGATTAGAAGCATTTATCCAAGCAGAAATTGAAGTCCAAAAGCTCTTTTTGTATTTCTAGAGTTGGTCTTCCCTTTTTGAGCTTTGTAAAAGGCAATTCTGCCTGAAACAGTTTACTTTCTTGTCATTTATTCTAGCCAGAACTATTAATTTTGTACTGTGAAAAATTGTGAAGTCCTCACCAGTCTGAGGCAAAGAAAAGAACTTGCTTGGGATATATTCCTCACCCAAATTCACAATCACTTGTTTAGAAATCAATAACTTGGGGCGCAAGTTATCTATTTTTAAGAAAGTCTGCTAGGGTTTTTGTTGCTAGCAGTGGCACACTCGCACACAAAAGAAAGTTGACTTGTTGACCAGTCAATGGTTTTCGAGACAATGGAGAACTTTACCCTACCATCACAGGAACAAATATAAAACGGGTGAACAATGACTAGTCTTAAGTCATTCGTGTAGAGACACTGAGACAGATGTGTAGGTGCTTTATAAAAGATGGAGTCCACTGAACACGATCAACTCTAGAATTCTTGTATGGAAGTCTTACTCACAAGTGTCAAACAAAGAATTCTAAGTTGTGATAATGCAAATTAATCCTTAGACCTGAGACATCATAGTCCTGTGTATATGTTGTTTTTCTTTGATAGCACTATACGGTCATATCAAAATGATGTGACTTAAAGGTGTTCCTCAGGATTCTCAGCGTGTACACAGAGACGTGTGAATGTACAACAAGGAATCTATGCTCTTAGTAAGAAGAGAGAATGCTCTAAAGATATGATTTGTGAATCTTTGGCCAAAGTATTGGATGGAAATTGAAACAAGAGCATTTGCAATTTCATCAAATTGAATCATATAATCTAGAGACGTCATATTAGGGATTTTGACACAAGTTTACCATATCCCAAGAATATGACATAGAGTATTGAATTAGAGAAGAATCGAATTGCATTGTAATCACAAACTGACTAGGTTCTCTAAATGAATTCTTTTTAGCTTGAGTAGCCATGACATACTACAAGGTGTCACTCATGGCTTGTGGAAGCCCAGTAAGGACTAATTATAATTAGTCTTCGCCAATAGGGAGAATTGTATGGCGGGATATAATTCACACTTTATTCAGAGTGAATTATTCGTACCTACTGCCTTGCTAATTAGAACCTATAAGATCGCACACCGAAAAGAAATTAATTGGGAAATTATTAAAAGAATGAATGATTTTGTCACTTGGTCAAAGTCAATGTGAAAGTCAAATGTGAAAGTCAGTTGACCCGACACTTGACACGGTCAACTAAGGATGACCGAGACCAACACTCGTTAGACAAGTTAGTGATTGAATTAGTCAAGTCACTAGAGTAATTAAATTAATTAGATTTATCTAATTATTCAATTAAAGTTATGAAACTTTAATTAAAGGTCTCATATGACTTGGAAATTCAAAAAGGATTTGATCATATGAACTTAGGCACATATGTGACACATTATAGGATTAATGTGTTGGACCATGATAGCAAAAGATGACACACAAAGGGGGGGGTGTGGCTACACTAGGGTTTGGGGGCATTTTTGTCACTCTTGTGACATTTTTGATTCTATAAGTGTGTAGCTATGGAATCCTATCATCCTAGAGTTTTCAAGTTGGTGAAATTGGAAGAGAGAAAACATCAAGCTCTCTCTCCCTAACCCCTTCAATCTATCACATCAAGTGAGGGTGCTAGCACCACTCTTCACTTGTTGTCTACTCATTCTCTCATTTCATTCAATCCTTGGTAAAGAGCTTTGAGGAGGTGCATATCTTTGTACCTATTTGGAGAGCTACAAGGTGTAGAATCAACATCAAAGGGAGAGCCAACAACAAAGGGACCACTCCCTCTATTTGAACACCATTCTTGGTTTCAAGATTCGCTCCAAGGGTATGAACATCTTATCTTTCTCTCAAATAGGATTTAGAGAGTCTTTGGTGCACACTTTCATAGACTTATAAAGATTGGGACCAAATGAGACTTGCATGAATCTCTAGTTTATTTAATGCTTCCGCGCTTACTTTGATTTCATATTAGATATGGCTTGCTAGGTGATTTATACTCTCAAAAATTGGTTGTAGAGTTTTTAGAAATCTCTACACAACACCATTACCACAATATTCCCTTCATTCTACACACGCATTAGATAGCTCACTCCACACAGAAAAAAGATGTGATATCAATATATTTGTGTTGATTTGACTAAAGAATTTAAGTCTGTTGTTATTAGGGGCAATATACAAAAATTTTATACATGCAGGACACATGCACGATGCACTATTTTTCCCTTCAACTAAATTTGTGCCCCACCACCAGTGGGGTATAGCTCAATTGGTTGAGCTCATCCACCTCAACCCATGTGGGCAGAGATTCGCAACCTCCAAACACCTAATAAATATTCGTGTAAACCCCACTCCAATCGCTCATATAAAAAAAATAAACATTTTTATTACTGGATTTTTCTTAACAACATAAGTGTGTCCAATAACATATCAAGTTTAGAAGAATGTTCATAATTTTTAAAAAAAATTAAAATTAAAAACAATATATTAATAAGCGTGTGAATCCTTGACAAGGCTAACTCATTGTTTTGGGTTGAGTGGTGAGGGAAGTCTTCTTGAAATGGTGGTAGCTATAGGATTGATTTGGGTGGAGTGGTGGTGGTTTAGGTGGGAGGAGAGACACGGGTGATGAAGGGTGGGAGACAGTGCATAGACTTCTACCAAAAAAGCATTATTGCACGATTGACGAATCCAAGCTAAACCCGCCAGACCCATTCGCCCACTTTTTCCCATTAAAAAGCAAAGAATTAGAAGCACAATAAAAGCCCCGAGAAACCTTAAAAAAATGACAAAAAGTCACTTTTGGTCCCTTTGATTTATCATTTTTACCATTAAGGTCCCTGTGATTTCAAAGAATTGATTTTTCCATTTTGTATTGTTTATTTTTAGAAGAATTGATTTTTTTAATAATTTGTTGACTAAATTAGCCGTCCACCAGTAACAGAAGTTAAAAAAATTTGACAGAAATTGAGGATTATCCTTGAATTGCTTCAAATTGAAACCACAAGGACGAAAATGTTCAAATTGAAACCACAAGGACGAAAATGTTCAAATTGAAACCACAAGGACCTTAGCGGTAAAAATTATAAACCACAAGGACCAAAAGTGACTTTTTGCCCTCTTATTGTTAGTGTGCTTTCATATTTGTAATAACCTTGTGTAAATTTGTATTTGTAAGCTTTTATGGCTGATAGCCTTTGTGCCTGAATTATAAATGCAATCTATCTTCTTAATCTAAAAAACGGCAAACAAAATTTTATTTTGTGTTCTGAAAAAACACAAGAAAATGTTTGTTTCTCCTTTCCCTTTTGGATGAGAAAAAGGAACATGCTTTAGGATCCAATTCATGGCAAAGATGCAACAGATTCAACAAGCTTTCCATCTCACAGAGCCTGTATAAAAAAAAATTTAAAAAAAATAAAGCCCCACACTTTCCCTTCCAAACTTTGACAAATAGACAAACAAAAACCCAAAAAAAAATTTGTCGAAAAGTACAGTTCACCTTAACATTCCCTAATTGTCCTACTGTTGCTGAGAAACCTTATCCTACAAACCTTGTTAGTGTGAGAATATAAGGACACTGAACAAGGAATCCCAATGAGAGATGAGACAAATAAATAGAAAATAAAAGATGATAAGGCACTTGGATCAATGAATTAAATATGTTACTACTGGATTTTAAAGACACAATTTCTTCTATGATATTACAGCTGGTGAGAACGTAAGAAGAATTACAGGAATGAGAACTGAAAAAATAAAAAAACCAAAAGAGAATAAGAGATCATTAAATATGTTACTACTGGATTTTGAAGATAGAATTTCTTCTATGATATTACAGATGGTGAGAACGTAAGAAGAATTACAGGAATGAGAACTGAAAAAATAAAAAAACCAAAAGAGAATAAGAGATCATCTTCTCAACATATTGTATGCTGGCAAATCTTTTACACTAGAGACATCTTCAAGTGCAAGCTCACGCTCTAGCTGACTTCTCGTAGACTTCAGAACATCCTGGAAAAAAAATTTGACAGTAAGACATGAGCAGGAAGGATAATATAAGCTTGCATCTTAATTTAGCAAACATAGTAGTATATGACAGAACCATTTACATTGAACTCCATATAGGAAGCACGTTTTGCAAGCCATTGAGCATCCATCATCTGGAAGGCTACACAATAAAGGTTATCAAATGCCATTTCATCTTCTTGAAGCAGTTCGAGAAAACGGATGCCTGCCAAACTAGTTGGCTCTGCTGCAAGAAAGATATAACCAATTATTCTTTATAAACAAAGCATCAGCATTCAGAATATGATGAAGAAAAAAAAAGTAAATTCTTGAGAAAACCGGATTAGTGGAAAATAAGTTACGAGTCATCAAATAAACATACTAAGATGTGGTTCTTTGTCATCAAATAGTTATCTGAGATTCGACCCCAAAAAAAAACAAAAAAAATAGTTATCTGACATTTCCTCATCAACCAATGTCGTACTACGTTGAAGGAATATCCACTAATTTGAAAATTTATTATACCTGATTGAAGATCCAACATTTGTGCCAAGACAAAAGAAATATTGATACCAGCTACAGCAAAGGGATATTCCCACTCAGCTCTAGTTCCATCTTGTTTGTGCAACAATCTTTGGAATGATTCCTATAAGAGGATAAAATCAGAAACTCATTAACCCTTTCACGAATTTTGTGGAAACACAGAATAAAATGATTACTTAACTATGAAATCCGAAATCCCAACTCAAAGGAAGAGGAGGAGCTACACTAAGTCCTGCCATGGAAGTTTATTCATGCAGTAATATATGTTCATTGTAAGACCGGTTTTAAACTAGGACAAATGAAATCACATAAGTGACCAGAACAGTAAAAGGCCAAAGAAACTGGATGGTCTGAGCTTTAATAAATTAAACAGAAAAAGATACCGCTTGAAGCAACAGCGAAACATATCAAGGACATACAAGTTTTTATGATCAAGTAGTGAGATCTATGTTTCAAACATGAAATAGAACATTTTATAATTGAAAAAGACATTAAGTCAGAAAGAGACAAACCGGATACTGTTGGGCGAAAAATATAAGATTCTCCAATGATATAAATCCCCCGCCTCTACAAATAAGGTTGGAAATTTATTGTTATCATATCAATTTATTCAGAAAAGATATATGAAAAAACAAACCAAATACATGTGACTCACTTAAGGATACTTTCATTTTGTTTTATGTACGTACCTAAAGTCTGTTGAAGGGTCTGAACCTTGCCATCCCATCTGTTTCCAAAGTTCTGATTTAAGAGGTGGGAGCTCCTTATCTGGATAAGCCAACCTCCATAACTGTAAAAGTGCATCCTGCAATTAAAAACTTAAGTAATTACTTCGAGATTTTCATTTTGAGTAAACTGGAGATAAAACCAAAAATTACTTCAAGGTTTTCTGATACTACAGAAAACCCTTCTATTGTTAAAAATTACTCGGACAATAAAATATACTAGTCCGCCCGCACCCACAACAGTACAATATACCAGTACTTTTCTTTATTACAATATATATAAATTGTCTTTTTCCACTTATTACTCTTCAACTTACATTGCTCACTCTGTTGTAACTGTAAACACTTAATTTTTCTGAACAATGAGCATATTTTTAGGCACTTTTGAGCATTAACGCTCCAACCAAATAATCATAAACAATGATAATAACATACAAACATTAACTGCAATAATAAAATACTGATAATACTATAAAATAATATAAAAAAAGTAATTATTATTGTTATTATTATATCATTATCCAGATCTTATTATTATTTTTATTATTATAATTATCCAGATCTTTATGTTTGATATAGTAGTGCTAGTAACACCAAAAGAGAAATGAACAAAATGACATCAAATGGATAAAAGACGTACTTGATGCTCCACACGAGAGCCATCAAAGGGTACTTCAAGCCTTTGTCGCAGCTTTCTGAGTCTTGCTTCCTACAGGACATAAGTACCAACAGCAAGTGAACCACGTATTCAATATATACAAATCTACATTATGCAATATATACTTTTCAATTATACAAACAACAGAATTGTTGACATCCCATTGCTGCAGAAAGCTTAAGCGGTTAGTATACAATATAACAATTAAACGAGCCCAACAAATAAACTACGACATAAATTAAGAGAGCAATTGCGGGGATTCGAACTCAAAATCTCCCCTTTTTGATACCATGTTACATTTTCTCAGTTTATCACCATTCCTGAAAATTTAAGATATAGGATATAGAACTAAAATTATATTAGTGATACAAATTACACAATTTTTTTGAAAATTGAACACTTCAAACAATAAAAGCACAATGTATGCCAAAAAAAAAAAGATCAAGAAAAGATGAAGTACAAATATCCACTTCAAATGACGGCTAAGGAGTAAGCAGTTGTGTTTAAGTGCCTAAAAGACCAAATATTCCATTATACAAACTTCCATTAAAATAAATATAAAAAAGAATAATGCTCATAATATCAAGAATTAGCGTACTCTCTCACATTTAAATGTTATATTATAGACAGGTTGATTAAAAAAATGGAACAAATTCATAATTAATCCACCAACAGCAAAAACACATCATAAAGACAAACACATTTCACAAGATAGTATTAGATAATTGAAATGTGAGGCTTCATCTTAAACTTTTCATGCATTTAGGATCTAAGGAAAATATATACTCCTTCGAGATAAAGATCAGATCATTTATTGGACATACTTGCAGAGGACTAAGGGGTGGCGCAACCAACTTAGTGCTTTGTCCATTTTGTGTAGTTGAAGGGAAGGTCAAAAGCCGCCCAATAAGCGATCCCGACCCAAGAACAATATTTGCTACAAAGAAAAATATGGAATATATAATTACAAAATAACAGTACATTTTGAATGTATAAAGAAAATAAATAAATTACAAAGAATGAACAGTGATCAGATAAATGCAAAAGAGCAAGAGCCTATTTGGGAGTACTTATGCTCATAAGCGCTTTTGTTAGGGCCAATGCTGTCACTTTTTTAAAAAGTTGTTTTTACTATGCTTTGAAAATAATTAGTACAAAAAGCAGTGTCAAAATTGTTTGGTAAATTTTAATATTAAAATGTTGTAATTGTGAATAATGATTAAAATAAACATGATGTTGAAAGTGTTATGTGCTAATCAAGTGGTGATAGTGGTGGTGGTGGTGGTGGAGGTGGTGGTGGTGGTGATGAAGGTGGAGGTGGTGGTTGTGGTAGTGGTGGTGGTGGGGATGGTGGTTGTGGGGGTGGAGGTGCAGGTGGTGGTGGTGGTGGGGCTTGAGGAGGAGGTGGTGGTTGTGGTTGTGACGGAGGAGGATGTGGCGGTGGCGGTGGCGGCGGCGGTGGTGGTGGTAGAGGTGGTGAGAGTGGTGGTGGAGGTGGCGGAGTTTGATGTGGAGGTGGAGGTTGTGTCATTTAAAAAAATTAATGATAGTCTTTTGGGAATTAAAAAAACTAATTAAAAGGAGCATGCTTTTAAAGTTGCTATCAAAAGGCTACTGTTTTTAAAATAATCATGATATTTTATTTTTACCAAACATCTTAAACTGCTCAACTTTAAAGTGAAGCAAGTTTTTAACGAAAAAAGCAATCCCAAACGGGCCTTAGAAGCACAACAAAAAATTTATTAAAAATTCAATTGCTTAATGGGCAATCACTCGGAAGTTCTTTTAAAACCTAGAAAGAACTTTACCTATTACTTCCAAATGTTACCAAAAGCGCTCTTGGTCATCTAGAAGTGTTTCATTTAACCTTTCTAAAAGCATGTACAAACAAGCTAAATATCTGCTACCATAAGCTGTTTCATATTATTTTTAACTAAATTGAACTCTCCAATAGAATGTTGAATACTCCTCATGGTTCTTTACCTCATCCAATGAAAATTGCCAACCTCTAGAGACAATTCAGTAACTTAACATTTGAAGTTCGATGAAGCACTGGAACAACTGATCAGGGATAATATTCACTTAATCAAATGGTTTAGTTATCAAGTGGGTACCTTTCTGAGAATGACTTCCATAATCAGGTCAAAAATGAAATAAACTTAACAGTTTCAGTTTATTTAGTTAGATCAATTTTTAAAATTCTAGCTATATAATGCCTGGCGTCTTATTAACAAAGTTGAAAGAACCTTTCCAGTAAAACAGTATAAGTCTTTTTGACACCAAAATTATGATTACCTAACCACCGTGCCCACTGTGCAATCAACTGAGAAAACAGAAGGGTCCAATGGAGTTGTTCCTTTCTCCGTTCATCATCACAGGTCTCTTCAAGTGAGGATTCCTGTGGTAAATCCAAGAAAGATATCAACCACAAAGTCCCCACTCTCCATGTAAATGAACAATTAAAATCCCCACCTCAGCATGCGTGTCTGAATAATAATTCCCCAGTAGAGGCTCATTAAGATCATCTGACCCTGATGTCTCTAAATGCTCATTCTTTTTCCCATAAACATCCCCATGATGAAGCCTTTTCCGCAAAGTTCTTGATCCCATGACGCTTCCTATATCAGCCTGAATTTTCAAACAAAGAATTTCATCAAGAGCATTGTTATGAGCCAAATGCAGCATCCTCAAGTGTACTTGCAAACAACCCAATGACAGAATCTCTCCACATTTCCATTAAAGCAACAGCTTGCCACCAAATTCAAAGCCAAATCATACCCATAAACGTATAACCCATATTCATATACCACTTAACTTAGTAATAGTACATACTTAAAAAAACTAAAATTCACAATACTTAACTAGTGCACAAAATGTCCAAGTTACTGTGATACATCCAAATATTTCAAACCCATAAACCCTAAGACTGAAATAACTGGGATTTAGTTCGAAATACAACAGGGGTTTGTGTCATATGCCAATTCAGAGACATAATCTAAATTTACAACGGAAAAAAAACGATGAAATAACAAAAAGAAAAACGAAGCAGAAGAAGGAGAAGACAGAGGCTTGTTGGCTTACCTTACGTTACCTTTAGGTTTGGCAAGGGATCCCAAACGGAAAGAGCTTTTTGTTGTTGATTCTTTGCTAAACAATCGATAAGCTCTCAACTTTTCCGTTTCTCTAAATGGTATTAAGCAAACAAATAAGGTGAACTGTATAAATCTATGGTTTCTCCATCTGTCTGCGTTTTCTTTTGATTTGTTTCATCAGATCAGTGTTGCCATTGCTCAACATGACTTTCTCAATCCTGAGTTTGACGCCAATTCAATGCGAACACCGCCCAGGTGACGTGTCAATAACGTGCCCCGCACTTTTATTTTTTTATTTTTTGGGTTAAGGATTTAGAATTTAGATGTCACAGAAAAATAATAATTTAGAATTTAAAGAGGGCAACGCTCACCTAACAGCTACGACTTGCTAACCAAGATATTTATATAAGGCATCATTTTCGGCATTTAACTCTCAAATCAATCAATTTAATCTTAAATTTCTTAATCAACGTATTAATTTGTTCCGTGTTGTTCCGTTATATTAAAAATTATCACGTGATTCCGTCGATCCAACGAAAACCGCTTCTTGCTTTTTTTTGCCTCTGGCTTGACTACTCTGCTTGCTTAACACAAGTGTGATTTAACCTTCACAGACCACTGCACTGGCTAATTTCGTCAAAACGCATCCCACCCACCCATGAGACAAACAAATAGCTGCTTTTGTCATCTGCACTAGCTCATGTCCTCCGACCACCCACCCACGACGTTAGTAACACATCACTCGAGTCATTACCAAGCATTCCAATAGTAGGTGGAGAGTGAGCGAGGTGTAGCTTAGTGGAAAAAGACATTAATAGACCAATGGTCTCAAATTCGAACCCCAATAGGCATTGATAGACCAATAGTCTCTACCATCGGTTGTATTAAAAAAGACAAATATTGAGATTTTTATTTATGTGTGTACTTGGGAGAAAAAAATTATCACTATCGCAAAAGAAAATGCTCGAGTCATGTCGAGACATTATTCCAAGAAAATCTTTACAGGCTTGCTCTTATGAAGACTTCTGAAGCTAAAAATCCGTTGAAAATTTTACGAATATAGTTAATTATATTGCTTAACTAGTATTATAATCCACATTCTGACCAACAAAGCCACTGCCACATTGTCCCCACTCGATTCAACAAAATGATCTCCAAATGGCTGAAGAGAGTAGAGATTAGCTAGGCATGCCATATCCAACATTAAAGTACACATTTAGTGATGCCCCAAACTCTGTTTACAGCGCCAATCAAGTTTGCACAGATACATTCAAGTTAGGCACTTCATGTCAAATTAAAATATAGCTACCGAGAAACTTCCTTTCTACTAGACATACATTAAAGGAGACTGACTGCTTAAACTGGCATGGGGAGGTGGACCTAGATGTTTAGAAGACACTATTCTCTACTAATTTACATAATAACACAATGCCTCTGAGAAATTCCACTGGCTCCATTGATTTCCAAGATGAATGTCACCAAAAGTTATGGGTACCTTGGCTGGTTTTGTTCACAATCCAGTATAGGAAATTCTGGCTTGGTAAAATAAGTAGGAACTCACTGTCGAGGTACTGGCTGTGTATTTGACTGATTACTTTGCCCATAGAATCCCATACCCAGCGGTCGATAATAACCTCCAGTAGCTGGCTGCAGCTGCTGTTGCTGCTGCTGCTGCTGCTGAGGCTGAGGCTGATGTTGCTGTTGTTGCTGCTGCTGCTGCTGCTGTTGTGGCTGACCTGGCCTCGACAAACCCATTGAAATATGTGGAGGTATGGGGGGTGGAGGTGGCAGAGTATTTGATCCATATCCGTAAGGCATTACACCCACCATGAGACCAGCAGATTGGGCATATTGATTCGCTGGTGGAGTTGCAGGAGATGCTGATGGTGCTGGAGGTGGTGGGGGCGGTGGACCAAAAGTATTTTGCATCTGGTTAGCTTGGGACAAAGGCTGCATGGTTGCCGGTGGTGCATGTGGAACATTGGTCATTGTCTGCTGTTGTAGAGGAGTAAAATAGGCTGTATTGCCAACATCAGGATTGTTAAGTTCAGATGCAGACATTTGCTTCTCAAGCTTGGGCCGTTTTTCTGGAGGAAACATGGATAATCCTGAAGTAAATGCAGCTGACGTTAGGCTACCATCATTGAGGCAGCTTCTTCAGCAACAAGGGATGAAAGAACAGAGGTCAACATCTGGGCAGAAGATGTAGATGCAGCTAGCTTAGCAGCAACAGCAGCAGCTGCTGCCTTTTTGTTCTCTTCATCAGTAGTTTTGACAGAGGCAAAAGAAATCACAGGTTGGGTTGGAGGCTGAGGTGGGATGCCAGATGGTTGCACTAATGATAAATTTGGTTCTAATACCCTTGTAGATTCAGTTGTCATGTTAGTGACATTGCTTTGGGGCTTAACAACCGGGGACAAAGTCAGTCTCCTTTTAATATTACCCAGTTTCTCAATCTGATGTCGAGCAACCTGCATGACAATAAATAATTCCTGTTAATCCAAGCAGCCAGTATATTAATATAGTTTTCACAATGCAAAATTTGAAAAGGCAGCATAAGCTCACCTACAAACAAAAGAATATGGCATTTACTGTATGTAGAATGAGGATGATATACATGCCATCTAGCCTGGCTCCTAAAGTGCAAAGCAGCAAATATACAATTGGTGGAGGGTTGCCTACATTTGTCAATTCCAATGAGTTACACTAATAATTCAAACTTGGATACTTGCTTTGATACCTTGATGAAATTTATTGACTTATTACTGTTCCTAAAACTTAAGTTGTTAGAGGTACACATATATACTTGCATGTTCACATGTTTGATGTGATGGGAAGTGCCAAGGGAATTGCATTATAAGATATTATTTGGTATCCTCTGTCCTGAACTTATATCATACATAGACAGACCATGTCTCTCATGGAAATTGTTACGGCTTTTAACAGATATTCAAACCAGCAGTAGATTTATAGCTTGAAAAAACAAAATGACTACAACGTCAGTGTAAAAACAAAAACAAAAGGTCCCTATAAAAAGGTAGGTATAGCTGACAGTTGTAACTTTAAAACTAGAACATTTAATCAGGAGAGGACATATTACTGTGAACTGATGTTGGGGCATGAGAGTAATCAACTTATTATTGTTGCCTCATCCGTCTCGTGGGAACTTTGGAACTTTCTACTTGCTATTTGGAGTTAAAACGGGAGCTACCTAAATCAGTGTCACTATTTCATGGAGAATTTGGAAGACAGGCAATGGCACTACTTGTTGCGACTGGAGAAAAAGGAATATTGGAACATTGATAGGGCTCCAGCAAACATTTCTGTCATGCTAGTATCATCCGTGAGGACTTTAGCATGAATCGTCCACTTTAATTTAATAATATTTTAAACTCTTAAAAGGAAAAGTAAGAAAGAGGAAGAGGATCATATTTCTGATTGATTCAACTTAGTAATATGCACAGCCTACGGCCTTCCATAAATTAAAAGTTCGAAGAAGAAAATTTCTTAGAAATCATCCAAATGAGCTCAATCAAAGCAATTAAATTAGCTAAACCATCCCTACACATAAGGCTGTTTACAGCCAACATCACTGATCCCCTCAAGCTGGAGAGAAGATATCAACTACCCCCAGCTTACTGCAAATAAAATCACTACCAAGTCTACCATCTTCCACAAAAACTTCGACAGCTTGGGCCAAATGAGGGTGGTTAAGATTCTTCAGTTTTGTATTGTTTATAGCTAGCCAAAGAAACGAAGAAGAGGGCGTCCTTTCTGCCACTTTAGCCACAGTAGGTCCCTAAGTAAAGCTAGGCAAGAACCAAGACTAGATCTGAGTGAGACAAGAACCAATATGAGGTCCAGGCAAGAGCAGAAATGAAATGAGATCAAAGTCAGATGAAGTCCAAGCAAGATTGTGAGATTAAATACTATATCCAAATGAGACCAGATTGAGACAATATCCGTGCCACAAGATTTAATGGAACCCATGACAGAGAAGTAAGAGAGACCTTATCCATATTTCTTTTTCCTCTTTTCTTATTTTGTGAGAAAGTAGGTACAGGTAGATGCTTCTTTAGCTCTAAGGATTATATTTATCGGATTTCATGCTGAAAAGTGAATTATGAAACGGGAACAGGATCATATTTTCAACTGAGGAATATAGATGGTCGTATATAGCCTCCATACAAATAGGGGATAAAACAGTCTATGAAAATTGCTAGAAATCATCCAAATCAATCAACCAACTTACCTAAATTTGCTCAATCATCCCTGCAAACTAGGTTGTTTACAATCTACATCATCAACATAAACCTTCAGAACCTTCACATTCTTTTCCTGTCTACTTTGTCAGGATTGTCTAGAAAGGCCTAAAAGGAAAAAAGAAATCTTATATTGTAATGAGGAAAGCATTGTCCATGGACAGGTCCAAATGTAAACTTAAGAAGATGCGAGATTAAAGATCATCTAAGATGCGAGCTTACATCTCAAGTTTAGCTTATCCCATTCTTATATAATTCCATTCATTTCTCCCAATTGGTGTGTTATGGGACTGATTTCTGGAATTATATTCGTTAAAAACTGAATACAAGAGTATCTTAAGAGCCTATTTATACTAAGAGTACAGCAGCCTAGCATTCCTATTTCTTGCTTATTAAGAAAACCTAATCCTACTATACCTAATAAATTGTATTCCTACTAAGAGTACTTAAAAAATCCTAATCCTATTGGGCTACGATTCTAGCTAATTTGGGAATTTTAATATATCCTAATCCTAATTCGCTAGCAGCCTTGTAGATGCCCCTGCATCAAACTCCCCAGGTTGGAAAAGACTTGTCCTTGAGCCTAAATCGTCATCATCGAAGATTCCACAAGAAGCTTGAAACTGAATTCTTCCTTTCCAAAACAAAGAGAACTTTCGAATATGGGACCATTCTTGAACATTCATGTTTATTCGCTAGCATCAAAACATCAACTAAAATCCCCCGTTGATCAACTAGCTCATGGTCTAGAGGTACTTCTCTTCCTAATGTTGGAAGAGGTCCCATGTTCAAATCCCCCTCCCCTCATTGATAAATAAAAAACTAAAAAAAACTAAAACATTAACTAAAATCCCTAAAACTTGAAATAGCAAATTCCAGCTGAAGATTTAATTTAATTTAATTTATATGCTTATTCCTCATCCATTTCTTCTAAAATTCTAGTAGTTAAAGAAAATCCATAATCCAAATCAAAAGATTACCCAACTTTGTCTACTACTATAAGGCTTTAAAGACTGCCGAGCAAAAACAAATAAACAGCTCACCAATCTAAGGCCTACAGCAGCTCGCCAATCTAATAAAATGACATAAAATGAAGGATCCCAAAAGATGCAAAAAGAGAAGCCTTAGGAGGCCCAAAAACCCGACTTTCGCAACAATTTTCTTCCACATGCCCACTATAGTTCTCGAATATTCTTCTGTTTCTCACCAACCAGATTACCCAAAAGACAGCTAACACAGTGAAATTCCACACAATTCTAGCCTTCCACCACCAAAATACCTACATTTCACAAAGCATGTTTGAAGGGGACTCAAGAATTACCCAATTAACCCCTGCCTCCCTCACTAAACGCCACCACAGCCTCAATGCATATGGACAACGTAAAAAGAAATGAGTTTCAGATTCTGCCTCTTTCTGGCACAAAATGCACCAATAGGGAGAAAGATAAACAGTGAACCTTCTTCTTTGTACCATATCGCAACTATTTGCTCTTCTATGAGCTATGATCCAAGACAAAACACAAACCTTAGTAGGAACATAAGATTTCCAAAATTAGTTTAGCAGGTTGGATTACAGGAAGCGATTTCTAGTCAGCCAGAAAATTTAAAAACGTCTTACAAGAGAAGACCCCTGATGAATCCAGTTTCCACGTCCTCCTATCTGGCCTACGTGCTGACAGCTGAACATTTTTCATAACTGAAAAGAGTGCTGCAAGCTCCTCAATCTCCTCCTCATAAATTTCTTCAGAATCGAAAATTCCAATCCATGGCATCCCCAACCCTCTGTGAGCTCAGCCACCCTATAACTTGGAGCAGCAGACAGTCTGAATAGACGAGGAAATCTTGAGCACAAAGGAAATTCACCAGGCAACAATCTTCCAAATCACACTTTGTTCCCCCTCCCCACTAAAAACTCAAAGCAAAGGTGGTGGGGTATATTTTATCATGGATAACGTTTACACGAAAGCAAAGAAATGGATGTAGTAAAGATTAGGAAGTTTATAATGCTAGGATGGTCAACAACCCAGGTAGTAAAATGGAGAAGCCGTCTAAATTTTGTTCTCTTCCTCGGTGTGGCCATTATGCCCCTAAAATTTGTGATAACTTCCATGACAAACTAACGAATTTCATCAAGATCCAACTAATCACACTAATGATATCAGGAGGTTAAGTATCGCATTTTGAAATTTAGGAACCAATATGAGACATGGGTTGGAGTTTAGGAGCATTAATGAATTTCTCCTATAAATTATAACTATCGGTACAAAAACTGATGATTAATCAGATCCACATTGATAAAAAAAAATTGTATATGACTTCACATCTATATAGTCCTGCACACATTTAAACACATATGTTAATTAGACCTAAAGTTGATACAAATTTATGATACTCTATTCTCTACGTATAAATGCATATATGACTCAAGATTCAGTTTCCCAGTGTCCTCTTCTTTAAAGTCAACTTCTTCCTACAAAAAAACCAACAATTTAATTCTTATTCCAACCGCAAACATCATCTAATCTAACCACCCATAATCTTTGGTTTTTATTTCAAGACAGAAAGAAAAAGAAATGCCTTAAATAACCAACCCGCTATGAACTGAATCAAGGCCCAGGGTTGATAATACCACAAGTTGTACTAGCTATAAAAGATTCTGAGGAACTGATGTTGAGCAACTAGCTGAGCTCAATGACATTCACTGATAAAACACTCGTAAATGCACTTATAAGAGCTCTGTAAATGAACACCATTTCCAAGACACAAAGACTTATGAATTTAAAAGGGCAAGTACAGACTAGTTCACTCTTACTTGCAACTGAGTGCGAACAAGTTCCAGCTCTGATTCCTGTAAAAGTTATATTAGAAAGCAACCATCAATATCTGAAATTTTAAACAAAACCACAGAAGTGTGAACATAAGTGGAACATTAAAAAAATATTACTTGGTCCTGAAGTGCTTCTTTAAGCTGCGAAACCAAGGCAGATCTTGTTGCCTCCACGTTTTCAAGCTGACCAACAGATTGATTAAGTAAATCTTCCTGCTCTTTTAAATCATCCAACAATGTAGATCCCTGCTGAGTTCCTGATAACACAGTTTATAACAAGGAAAATCACTAAAAATCATGGTAGTAAGACAATATACATGAGGACCTTCAACAAATTTCATCTAGAGTTTCTTAGTAGGAATCAAACACTAAATTTCAAAAAAGGATTATAAAGGAGAAAAAAAAAGTTAACAGCAACTCATCTAGGTGCATGAAGAACAAGAGAACTTTATGAAGCTTACTGACTGCATCAAACAGTTCAAAGTCTTCATTACTATTACATGCATGTACCAAAAAAAGAGAGTAAATATCACCATACAAGTCAAAAGAGGGGATTTCATTGGCCTTAAGGACCTATTCATATGGACTATCAGGATTTCAAATCCATTGATCTATAAATCCATATTTCAATTAATTAAAGTGTAATGCTTTTGACTTTAGGATTTCAAATAAATTTAATTAACTTAGAAACTAAAACACATGACCCACAACCATGATTTGTGATTCATGGCCCATGACCTACAGTCTACAGATCATTACACGTGGGCCATGGCTTGCGAGCTATGACTTATGACATATAACTCATGATCCGCAACTCGCAATGCAAGTTACAAGTTGCTACCCGTGACCATTGAACAAATATTTGAAAATAGAGATTTGAATTTGAAATTGAAATGGCTTCATTTATCAAATAACCAACTTTTAGATATCACAATCATAATATCATAACAAAAACCTGTTCTAAAGTCACTCACTCACTTAAATCACAAAATTTAAGTGCAAAAAAGCATACACAAGCATAGGTGTAGATTCCAGGGCCTAGCAGAAGCACATTCCAAACTAATTACAAGGTTGCTCTTAAATACTAATACCTAGAAATGGATACTCACTATACTTGTTTTAGGAATTGTTTCTCAATTTGAAACTTACAATTCTGACTCCTAGAATTGAGCTCTAGACAGTAGGTAGATGACTACAATCAGGCCAACCTTAATAGTAATAACATGTCATGGAAAAATTCAATTTTCCCCTCAGTATATTAAAATTGCATAATTTGCATCTGAGTAGCAGAATAGACAGAGCCTCTTGGCATTACAATTCGTGGAACAAATAATAATTCACACAACAAATAATTTGGACAACGTTCTCAACAGTGAGCCAAGAGTGCAGATAAACCCTAACTGATAATCCTAGTCTCAGGAAATAAAGAATGAAATAATGTGATAAAAAGAGATAGAAAGCTTTTCATGCCAATCTGAGAGTTTTTAAATCACTTGGTGGTACTTGAGAGATTCATTAGAGCTCTTTACGATTATGCATACAAGAAAAGTTGCTAATTCATTCTTCCTATAATTAAATTTGTGATCAAGTCTTCCTGTTTTCATGATAATGGTTTGTAAGGGCACTTATTTAGATCCTCTTATTAAAAAATTAAAAAATATATAAAAAAAAGGGAAGAAAAAACCTAATTGCCAATAATTAGAAAAATGTACATAGCCAAAGAAAAATGCAGAATATGAATTCACATCATGACCTGACCCTAACCTGAAAAAATATATAACATAAGTTATAACCATAGCAATTATTCATCTGTAATCTAAAATCTCTCAGACACTTTTTTTTATAAGAAATTAACCTTCCTTAATATAATTTTAAAAGAAAACATATCAAAAGACAAGAAATTAATATATACAGAATGATTCCCAAACAACATCCTCCTTCCAATCTGAAAATACTACAAACGAACTGAATTTCCCAAATATTGTGAAGAGACGGAAGGTCATAAGAATGCCCAAAAGCATATACATCCACAACAAAACAAGCTCCTGACCCCTGAAGGCTGTGAAAGATCCTCCTATTTCTTTCCAAAGGAAAGGCCCAAAACACAACCAACACTCGGCATCTCCCTAATACTTCACCTCTCTTTCCACCACCAAAAAGAACTTATGCCTTTCACAAAAGGAGCATAATATGATGCTGGAGCTACCCAACTCAGTGAAGTTTCCTTAAACAATCTTAACCAAAAAGATAAAGAAATATGGCAGGGCCGAAACAAGTGATCAGAAAATGCATCAGATGGACAAGCAGTCCACCTAGACCGCGCCAACTATAGATGCAATACAAGGAAAACCACACTTAATACAAGCCTCAAACCAATCAGAATGAATTTCTCTTAACTGCAACATCCATAAAAAGCTTCAAAAAAGGCGCACACAAGTAACCAAGAAATCTAATTCATTCCAACTAAAAGTCAACTCCTTCCTATCTTAAAAATTCTTCTGAACTAAAAGACTCCCCTATTGGCAAAATTTTAAAGGCACTGCTACTGGCCCCCCCTGCCCCGAGAAAGACCTCTGTCAACAATGGGGACAATTTCTTTGAACGACCCACTCCAAAGTGAAACCATGCAACAACTTGACCCTAATTTGTGAAGTGGATTGATGTGCTCAGTCGATTCACCAGATATTTTTAAAAAGGGGCAGCAATGAGGTAATGAAACATAGGACCTTTTTGAAGCGTACTTCAAGTGCCCAGACCAATGTCTTCTATCAGGCTATGTTTAACTCAAAGTGATATTATTGGCAGAAGATAACAAACTTGAGACACCCATGAACACCCTATCATTTGGGTTCCTCAGAAAGATTAAGTTCCAAGACAAGGCTCAAGAAGGAAAGTATGAATCTAAGGAGGATAGAACCAGATTATGATTCAAAGAAATGTATAATCATTAAGGAACATATATAACCTAGTATCTTCCAGAGTAAGAATTCTTGTCCCATTCCCAACAAGAAGTTTCAACAGAGAAGAGAATAATCCCTGACAGACACAAATCCAAGGGCATTGGAAGGTGCCTCCTTCCACAGTACAAGAGAACCACCCATTAGAACGCAAATAAAATATACTTCTGGTAATCAAATGACTTTTATAACTATATGAAAACTCAATAATTGAAGTCAGAAAAAACAAGACTTCAATTTTCAAACCATAACAAGAGTCTTACATTTTGTCATCTAGTTCCATGACAATCATTCTCTCCAAAGTTACATGTAAATAACATTAATTAACGTAACCAAAGGTTCTAGGTCTTACCATGAGTCAAGGTATTTTCAACATCTTCATCAATTTTACCCACATGATGTAGAGCGGCACTACACTTGTTCAAAGCAGCTTCTTCGCTAAGATGTTCTTCAAGAACAGGTTGAAATGCGGTAAGTATTTTTTCTGGCAGACCTCCAACAGCCAGTTTCTGAGGTTTAGAAGAATAATAACGCATGTTCAAGCTCAATAATTAGGAATACAATTATGAAAATTGAGAATAAACCAGCTATATCTACTACCCCAGGGGCTTACAATTCTAACTGAGTGTGCATCCCTCTTCACTATCTTGATAGGATTTGAACTCTTTCCATTGCTTACAGGTAGAGCAGGAGGATTCTTTCCCATCATTTCATCTTTAAGACTCTGCCCTCGAGACCCAAAAACCTTCCTTTCTTCCCAAATGTCAACCTGAACAAAAAAATGCAAACAAATAAATACAACATCCAAAAGAAAAAAGTTCCTTAAGGATTAAGTAATGAGACCAGATTGCTAGGCACAAATTATTAAAAGGAATCATAACTAAGAGCGGACACTAAACTGGTTCACTCTATTCCACTACATGGAATAAAAGGTGCTAGTCTTCCAGGACAGTGGGAGCAAACTAAGAATTTTATTCATGGATAGAAGGTGCAAACTCAGCAACATAGCAAGTGAAATCCGCTAGAGCAACAAAAAAGGACTTAGTATCAGACCCCGCAACAATAAAAAGGCAAAGAATACAGAATCTTTCAGTTGCTCAGGCCCAGTACTGAAGACTTAATACTGAAGTCTCAGGTCAGCTAACCTGATAACCTAATCTCACAGGTTATTTACTACTACTGTTGTGTTAAAACAATGAATTAAGAGAACATAAATATGCTCACCAGTCTTGTGGCAACTTTCTTTCCATGTCCATCACCATTTTCATAAACATGCTTCAGAGCTGCAGGAAGGAACTTCCAGAATTCATTCACAAACTCACTGCCCTTTCGCCTACTGTTTTGCAATATGTCATTAGCCAAATATAGAAAAGACACACGCTGGTCTTTTTGGGAAGAATTGAAACATTTATCCCATGTTTCAACAATCTGTTTTGCTTTCTTTCGGTGAGAAATACACCAACGAGACAGAGCTGTTTAAATGTTTAAAGAAACACATAATATAAACATTAATGTTGGAGCTAAGTGATCAGTTACAAATACATACATCTACAAATTATGATGAATATTAACAGCTATAGGTATTATCATACATCAAGAAATCAATATATTGTTGAATATGTTTACCAAGTATTAACAAAGAAAGAACGCTAAAGGTTTTCTAGAACATTTTCTAGAACATCCAGTATGAAAAGCACTATAGGTTTGCAAGTCTGGATAAAGAAAGAAAGGAGCCATTAGGAGTGGATCAAGATTTTAGCTTAGAGAAGTCATGATGGAAAAGAAATTTTTTAATATATAACTGCATGATGGATAAGAACCCAAAAAAAAAACAAAAAAAGCTCATTATGACAAATTGAGATTTTAAAAAAGACCGATTAGCTGATATTCACATCGCCAATGCATCAATCTTAAATTCATAACGGATATTATGTTGTCAAAACCAGAAACAAGACTTTTGTTAAGGGAAGAGAAGGGTGAGGGGCGTACACATGCACACATACTATCCTTTATAAGAAACAAATTTTATAGCTACTCAAGGAAATGCAAACAAAGTGGACAAGATATCAACCAAAGATCACACATCACAGTGCATTCAATCAAACTTAATAAAACGCTACATTATATAACACCAAGACAAGTATTTATCCCAAAAAAAAATCAATTACAGAAGTTATTTACATTATAATAAAATTATACAGGAACAAATATGAACATAATAGAAAACAGAGAAAGCATAAATACAGTTGAAGCGTCACCAACTAATACAATGTTACCACAGCCAAAAACAACATCATAAAGGAAAGGTAGAAACTTGAACATTACAATTTTCTACATAAATCTAAAATTAGGGAAAAGTGTAAATTGATATTCAATTAGAGTCAGCAAGACGCTAGTAATAAAAAATATACATGTTTCAGTAAGTCACCTTTTACCAGAAATTCTTATAAGTATGTTAACGATCAGGTATGTAATACAATCACAGAGAAACAAATACGACCCCTCAATTGTTGACATGTATTAGACCTTGTATACATAAATCAGATAAAGCATGTAGTAAATAGGGGATTTCTTATGAAGGATACATTCAATGCTTTGCTGTGAACTGTTGAGTTTTGTGAGCTTGTCAGCTAATATCTGTCCGTCAAAAGCTTCGTTGTTACTCATCTTGCTAGTTACTCAATTTTTAACATCCCCTGCCGCAAAAAGTGTATAATTATGTTAAAAATATAAAATAAATGCCAAAAAAATGTATGTATAATCTCTAAAGTTTTTTACTTTATTTCACCTAATCAAGAAACCTACTACAACCAACAGAATAAACAATTATTTACACTATACAAGCTCTGTCCCAACCATTTTCAAACCGTTACATAAATCATGGTACTCAATTCTATCCTCTCTTGCTAAATATTTACATGCAATCACAGTGTAATAAAAATATACATAATTATTCAAAAATAATTAAAAATAAAAATAAAACCCATTTCCTAAACTAAAATTTGATAATCAACTAGATAGTGCACTCCATGGCCTTCATCACTCATAACCCACCAATTTCATAGCACTGTACTGTACCTCCATTTCATTAATCAATTCATCTCTTACTCTTTACCTATTAGTATTGTATAGTAGCACATACTTCGCAACTTTATTCAGCAATTCACGACAAAAAGAATTCTTTGCCACCAGCTAGACACGAAAACGAAATTCTAGGGTTTACACAGAAACGACGTCGTCAGGCACAGTTCCGCTCGAGACGAATCCAAAACAGGGTTGAAGACACGAATCAAAGAGAAGAACGGAAATGAAGAAGGAGAAGAAAGAGCAAGAAGATTTCGGAGATATTTCGGAGACTTACCGGAGCAGCGAAAGGACGCCCCTTTTATTCTTCTTGCAACTTGCAAGGCCCAAAGTGCTCTGTCCCTTCTTCCTGTCTGGGCTGAAACGACGCCGGCCTATACGATATAGCTATACTCTTGCCAACCTACAACTAGCCCTCAGAAAAGTGAAAGTAAAATTAAATAGAAATTTACTTATATACCCAATCTTAGACATAATTTTATAAAGAAACCCTACATCATTTAAAAATTATAAACACACGTAAGTAAAACCCAACAATTGACAGCTGTCAATTTTTTTAATTTAATAGTTGTTTTTAAGTTTATTTGTGTGTGTCAAAATACCTATATTGTCCTTGTACTATGGATTTATGATAGAAAAATCAGATCTGCCCATATCTGCCATAAAATCAAATATGCTCATATCTGCCAAAAACCCAGATCTGCCAAAAAAATCAAATCTGTCAAAAAACCAAATCAGATTTATTTCTCCTTTCTCGCTGGTGTTTTCTCTAGTGTTGGAGCAAGAGGTGCTTCCATTGAAGCTCAGTCTCAGGTCCAACTATATTCTCTCATCTTTAATCTACAATTTTCAATTATTTCACCTTTCTGTTTCTAAAATAAATGTTTCTAAAATCTTTTTGTTTTTTTTTTTTTTTTTTTTTTTTTTTTTTATTTGGGATGGTTCAAGACCTCGAACAAACCTTGATCAGATGCTCTTAGCTCTACTCCTCTTTCGCCACATCATCTTTGTAGTTATCATCGTCGTCGTTGTTTGGTTTGGACTTGAGATTTTTTATCTTTTACTTCAATTATGTGTTTCTCTTCGGATTTTAGTTGATTTTCGAAATGTATTTTAAGCTTTGATGATCGATTTAACTTTTGTTACTATTTCAATTATGAATCTCATTTTTGTTTAACAATGTACTTCTATGACAGAGTATTAACAATGTACTTTTATGACATAATATTAACAATATACTTCTATGACATAATAGTATTAACAATCTGGACTCGGCTTGTTTTGAGTTGGTTTGGTTTGTTCTTTCTTCATCTTTTATTTAGTGGACATGTATTAGAAATAGCAACATGACAAGCATTAATCAACATGACAGTAAACTAGTGTTATTACTCTAGACTGGAACATTACAAGGGTAAACATGCATTAGAAATAGGATGTCATAGGAAATAGCAGTGTTATTACCCTAGACTAGAACATTACAGGGGTAAATATGTATTAGAAATAGAATGTCATAAGAAACTAGCAGTGTTATTACCCTAAATTAGAACATTACAGGAGTAGACATGCATTAGAAATAGGATGTCATATAAAACTAGTATTGTTATTACCCTAAACTGAACTTTACAACCATTAATCAACATGACAATAAACTAGCAGTGTTATTACCCTAAATTGGAACATTACAGTCATTAATCAACATGACAATAAACTAGTAATGTTATTACCCTACACTGAAACATTACATGGGTAGACATGCATTAGAAATAGGATATCATAGGAAACTAGCTGTGTTATTAACCTACACTAGAATATTACAAGGGTAAACATGCATTAGAAATAGGATGTTATAGAAAACTAGCAGTGTTATTACCCTACACTGGAACATTACAGCCATTAATCAACATGACATAGCAGTGTTATTACCCTAAACTGGAACATTACAACAATTAATCAACATGACAGTAAAAGTGTGGAACATTACAGTCATTAATTAACATGACACGTTAATGAAACTACAGTTTTCAAGACTTTTTGTTTGTAATGAATTGTTTGGGTTTTTTTATAAAATTGGGCTGAGCTTGTTTTGGGTGCTATTTAAGTTTTTTGTGTTGGTCTTCTTTTTTAAGTTGATTAATGGCAGTCATGTAATTTATAAGAACTTAAACACTAATTTCTTATGTAGTAAATGAGTTTTGGGTGTGTTTTTAAAGTGTATTCCATGTGGGTTTTTTTTTTTTTTTTTTTTTTTTTCAGTCCGTCCGTCCTTTTTGGTTGTTTTAGTTGTTAAGTCTCCCAAAATTAAAATAGTTTTTTACTAAAAATAAATAAGTTATTTTTTGAGTTATTTACACTGACACACCATTAAGTTTTCAGATGTTTCACAAACCCCCTTGAGGTTTCAAATATTACATGAACACTCTTGAGGTTTTAAATTATTTTCACAAAGCCTCTTTTCGTTGATTTTTCATCAAATTAATGACTTTGTTAAATAAATAAAAAAATTCTCCAAATAACAAAGTTAGCCTTTGAGATTAGATTGTACATACATTTATTGAGGTTGACTTTGTCATTTGCACACTTTAAAAAAAAATGAAATCATCAAGTTTTTTATGAACAATCAACGAAAAAGGGTTTTGTGAGAACAATTTAAAACATTATAGGGTATTCTTGTAATTTCTGAAACTTCAGGAGTTTTGTGAAAAAGCCGAAAAGACCTTAGGGATATTAGTGTAATAGGCAAAATATAGACACCAATTTTATATATGTCACTTTTTAGCCAAAAAAAAACTTTTAAATGTCAAAAACCCACTTTAATAAGCTCAAATGCCCCCTTCAAAATTAAAATCCAATTGCAAATCAAAATGCCCTCAATATAATACAATCTAAGAGTTATTAATTAAAATATCATTTATATTAATAAGACAACAACACAAACAAATTGGCTAGAGTGAATATGTTTCCCACTCTGCACCCGAGTTTGAATCACCCTCCCCGTAGTTTAGGGTAGCATATCACTTGTATCAAAAGAAAAAAATTAAAAAATTAAAAATTAACACAAACAAAGACTAATGTCCCAATTCTACTTCTTCTTAATTATGACAACAAACACAAAATAGAGCTCAGAGATCGTTCTCTAAAAAAAACAAAGATTGACCATGACGAAATCAAATTAATTATCTTCCTACCAACATCGCATCTAGCCTTAAGCTAGTGCAAAACCTGTGACAGATTTGGGGCGAACATTATTTCTAGTGATCTAACTACGTAACAGTGAACAAATATGTTAATTGAACAATCATGCCAAAAAACAATTGGGCAGATTACAGCAAACTCCTGAAAATGCAAGGTAGAACTAAATTAAGGGAATATGAGAAGTTTTAGAGAGAGTGTTTTTAGAGAAGGATTTTATCAAGTAATTAGGCAAAAAGAGGTTATGGGGAACTTCGATGTAAGTATGGCTTAGAGTGGCTTCTTATTCAAAATGCCCGAAGGGGCTTATTCACTAACCCAAAAGAAAAACAAAGAAGAGAGGTGCCAGGACCCCCCCTAGGGACCTAAGAGGAGTCCTAAGAATGTTCGACACCCAAGGGGTGTTGGGCCCACAAAACTAAGCTACTTTAATCCCATGTCTGGAAGCAACACGAGGCTTTGATTTCTTCAAAAAATCTGGCAAAGTAACCCCTGTAAATGGCACAACTCCTAAATTCTCCACATGTAAGAAAGTCACAATGTATATACAAAAACTCGACAACAGCAATAACAACATCTCCATAACCAAAAAATTTACTAACAAGGTCTCAAACCTTTTAAACAATTCACAACACCCTAGCACATGGTTATATCAAAGAGATAATCTAAATAGTCACAACATTTAAATAGAAATCTAAAACCAGTAATAAAATGATAGTCCTACGAGATAGATGGAACAATGAGCAAGAAAGATGGATGCCTCGACATGGTAAGCACTACCTCAAGAAATTTTTTAAGTTATCGTAGTCTCTAGGGCTAGATTTTCCTTTTACATACAAAAGTGTGTGTCTACATACTCCACATCCCAATCACATCGCTTAGTAGTTGTACTTCTAAGCAAATGTCGTAGTTCTTGGATAAAAGATTTGTTCTTAGTTTTGAAAATGACTTTGAATTCAACACTATTTTTATCTTAAACTAAGTGGGGTGTATTCAATTGGGATTTTAAAAGACTATTTAGGGATAAAAAAGTCTAGTAGAATTAAACAGAACGTGATGACTTATAAGATTTTATTTATGGACTTTTTATAATCAAGATTTTTTAGTTAAATATTTTAAAAGATTTATAAGATTTGGAAGGACCACATGGATTTAACGGATTATGAGTTAAAAAAATCCAATGGCTTAAAATACACCACATCAGCTAAATAAGTTTTATTTTTATTTTTTTTAAATTGACAATGCTAAATGCAATTATGCTAGTAACCCATATCGGATCCCAGCTACTGCAGCAAAGCCTCTTTGAGGCATTTCATCGAACAGATGGTCTGACACTGTTTAACCCATATCTATCTGCTGGATCTTGTGTTGAGAAGAAGCTTAGGCTTTTTGGGTTTGAGCTGAGCCCAAGCAAGAATGAGGACTTCTCTATCAATGGCTCTGCAGAAGTAGATGAGAGTGTAAATTCATCAAACTACATTTTGTATGGAAGGGAGGTTCATATGAACAAACGTGCCAGCAATGAGAAAAGCTCCACTAGTGAAGCAGATGACAAGAAGTTTGAGTGCCAATATTGCTTCAAGGAATTTGCCAACTCACAGGCATTGGGAGGTCATCAGAATGTGCACAAGAAGGAGAGGATGAAGAAGAAGAGTTCATAACCGAGTCTTAAGGGTTCAGACCAAAATCTCACAAAGGTTTGTTGTATACCTCTGAGAGGAATTGAACAAAGCACAGCCCACTAAATTGGTCTCAAGTATTCCTCTAAAAGCTTGCCCATAGCATAAGGTATAAAAATTGTAAAGTCAAGGCCAACATGAGCCATGGTTATGTAGAGGGCCAAGCATACTTGGGGATCGCCGTAGAGGAAGAAAAAATCCAGAGAAAAAAAAATCTCATGTGAAAAATCTCATGGGTTGGGGTAAGATTTGAGATGTAAACACGAATTTCCTGCGATAAATGAGACAAGAACATGTGTACAAAATAATATTGTATTAATGAAATTTAGGGTTACAATCTCTGTATTGAATCCTCTGATTCGATCTCCAAAGTGTTTAAAGAAAATTTGTGTTTGATACAAGGGTCATAGAGACTTGATCTTGATCAAACGGGTAGCACAAGGCTTGTTTGGTGTTTGGGATTTTCTAGGGTGGAGAAACCGTCACGTATTTGTTGTGCTTGGTGGCTCTTCCAAAGTGTGGTGAAGAATGCAGAGAGTTTTATGTTTCTTCTCAATGCTAGGTTTTTTCTGGCCCTTCTTTCATCTTGAGGCCTCCTATTTATAGGCCCTTGTAGGATGCTTAACCTAGATAACTTTCCCCATTTAAAACCTTGTTTTGTGGGATTTTGATTTGATTTAAATCAATTTCCATAATCTGGCAATTTAACCAGATTATCTTAAATTGATTGACCTAATTTGATTTAAATCAAAGTCAATCACAGAAGATTCTTTCCCTTAATTTTGTCTTCATCTTGAACCGTTTGATGCACTCCGTCAGATGTCGCAACATGTCACTTTTTGACAACTAATCCAATTTTGATGAGTCACACGCCATATGGGCGAATTATGGGGCCCACAATTTAATCCACCAAACCCTAATTATTTTCTTGTCCAATGGGATTTATTACACCAAAATTTCATTGTCTACAAATTGCCCCCACTTCATGATGCATTGTAGACATGTGCTTTGTCACATGTAGGAGGTGCAGCTTGAAGTGTTACTTTCCTCCTCTTTTTTTTTTTTGGTGTGATATTATTAAACTTAATAATACCCAATGAACCCTATTTCCAACGTTGGCTTTTTATTTCCCACTTTTTTTTTTTTCTTTTTTTTTTTTTTTTTTTTTGTATTACGCTTAATAATATCCAATATTGGTAAGATCTTGTGAATCAAGATACAAAATCCAATATTTTCCTAAACTAGGAACAAGAAACCCTAGCACCACTAGGAGCTTTGATGGTCTTTGGCTTCTTTAAATTGCACTACGTTCATGAATATTGAGATCAACCAAATAGAACAGCAGAAAAACTCCTCTTGTCGGCAAGAAGGTCTACAACTTTGAAGTTTACATCCTTGAATTTTCAGCCGTCAGAGTGGTGAGAATGGGCCCTTTTTTTTTACAAATTTATAAATAAACCCAATCCTAGACATGTATTTATAGAAAAACCCAAGCACTATTTAAACATAGAAACACACCCAAAATCAACCCCAAAGTCAATTTTTTGGGTATGTTTATAAATGGATTTTGAGTGTGTGTAATGATGGGTTTTGGGTGTGTTTATATGTTTAAATAGTGCTTGGGTTTTTTTATAATTTAAGCCCCCATTTTGGGTGTTTGAGTGAAACTCCCTTTTTTTTTCGTGTTTGATTCTCATATATATATATATGCCTACAGCCGCCAGTTGAAAAAGAAAACTGACGTTGATATTTTTCTACAGCCGCAAGAACTCATCTGTTGGTCTATCAAGCAACTTGTTGGTAAGCTTGAACCCTTTTCTTCATGTTTTCATCATCAGCTTTTTTTTTTTTTTTTTTGGAAGCAAGATTGGAAGGTGGAAGGGTAGGCAGGCTCAAGCCTGCGTGTGTTGAGCTTGAAGTTGAGGCAAGAAGGTGCTGGGATCGAAGTGGAAGCAAGGAGGCATCAGGCTTGGTGCGCGAGGTGGGCTACGCAGGAGGAGAAGCTGGGTTGCGTAGATTGAGACGTGAGCTGGGCCTGGCACAACATGGGCTGTGCGCTGGAGCATGGGCAGGCGACGATGGGCCTTGGTGGCTGACTCTGGGCTGCGCATGAGCATCTGCTGGACCTTCATGCTGGCTGGGCTGGAGAAGTGGGCAAACTGGGCTGCCCCCATTCAGCTTGGGCTGGTCCAAACAGCTCGAAATAACCCCTTTTTTTTTCTTTTTTTTTTTGCTGCTGCACATCTATTACTCTGTCAATCATTTTTATTTTATTTTATATGATGATATTTATACATATATATTTTTTTTACAATAGGTACTTTGAAAGAAAGTGAAAAAAACGTAGATGTCCTATACAGCTTGGGTTTGATCCATCTCTCCGACTTGGTGATAACCCGCTCAAGCGCTTAGGCTTTACGTAAGTGGAGGACGAGTGAAGAACGTAGACGTCCTATACCGCTTGGGTTTGAACCATCTCTCCGACTTGGTGATAACCCGCTCAAGCGCTTAGGCTTTACATAAGTGGAGGACAAGTGAAGAACGTAGACGTCCTATACCACTTGGGTTTGAACCATCTCTCCGACTTGGTGATAATCCGCTCAAGCGCTTAGGCTTTACGTAAGTAGGGGACAAGTGAAGAACGTAGACGTCCTATACTGCTTGGGTTTGATCCATCTCTCCGACTTGGTGATAACCCACTCAAGCGCTTAGACTTTACGTAAGTGGAGGATAAGTGAAGAACGTAGACGTCATATACCGCTTGGGTTTGGTCCATCTCTCTGACTTGGTGATAACCCGCTCAAGCGCTTACGCTTTACGTAGGAGAAGACAAGTGACAATTGTTTCTCGAGACATTCCACCTTTATCCGGCTTTTCAAACTTGTACAAGTAAGCTCCTTTTTCTTTTCTTTTTCTTATGTTTTAATTTTAATTTTAATTTTTAATTTTTATAAAGTATGAAATCACCAGCCTGTACTAAATATTGTTTCATGTCGCTCATCTTATACAGATGGTCTTCTTCAAATGTTTCAAGAAAGGCACCGTTACTATTCTTGAGGATGAAAGTGATAACTGGGACGAAGGTACCACATTGCTTGTAGGTGCGCCTCTCCTAGCTTCGGAAGTATCTGAGGTGGGCAATTCTCTTCATATTCCGTCTTGGTCTCATGAGGTGTTTTGTCAACTCAACAGCTTCAAAAAATCCAAGTCTACAGATAGTGACCTTCACTCCACTGTTTTACAGTTAAAGTCCTCCCATCATACAGATATTGGTTCATCGAAGGCGTTTGAGCTTCTTAGCGATCGAATCCATAATGGAGCAGTGAATTGGAGTTCTAGTCTCCTGACAGCTGGTGAATCTACATTTACTGAGTATTACGGGGAGTGGCTTGAAGATGTGGTAAGTAGAAGTGCTCAGGTTCTTAAGAGCACCGGTCTATATAATGCAGTATTTGCCTCATTATTTAGCTATGATCGACATGCTCCAGTCATTCGAGCCTTTTGCAAGTACTGGTGTCTTGCAACAAATACTCTTCATACATCGCAAGGAGAGATGTCTATTTCCCTTTGGGATCTTCATGAAATTGGTGGTCTCCCTATTACAGGTCGATTTTATGATGAAGTCATTCCAACCACTGAGAGTCTCAATAGGAAGGATCATAAAGGCGTGTCTTATATCCCACACATTTGTCGCTACTTATTCTTAGCGTATCACAAGATTTTACAGGATTCTAAAGGAAAATCTAGAGTAAGAATGACTGCTTGGATAAAGTACTGGTATCGAGGGCCATTCAAGTATAAAAAGCCTTCAAGGAAAACCATACGGAACAAGTCACAAAAGCCAAAGGAGGACTATGATCCATCTGGTATCATTCCGATAGCACTGAAACGCACTGAGGAAGAGGAAAGAGTTTTTGAAGATTTGGGTATAGCTGATGAAGACATGGAAAAATCCTACTTGGCTGCATTCCTTGCTTGCTGGTTGTGCAAATTTGTATTTCCCAAAGATGACGTAACTTTGATCAGACCAGGGGTTTTCAAAGTTGCCAGTCGAATGGCGCACGGTGTATCATTTGGCCTAGCAGTTCCAGTATTGGCCAGCATTTACAAGGGGCTGAACAATATTTCTAGTGCGGATGATCCAGGAATTTGCACAACTGTTCTACCTTTCCATTATGTGTATGGATGGTTGGGTGAATACTTCGACACACATTTTACATCATCTTCCGAGAAGTCCATTCCTATCATGGCAAGGTTCTCAGGAAGACTTTCGGCGAAATTTTTTGAAGATTCAACAGCTCGAGCTTTATTCTGGACTTGTGGTAAAGTGAAAATGAGACATGGCAAGAGTATTTTCAGAATGCAAACAACTGACTGATGAAGATCATATCTCTAAAGAAGACTTTGAGTATTTGATATGCCTTCGTTCGGGATTCGTTTCTCTACGACAGGAAAACTACCGAGTCATCCAACCTTATAGCCCGCATCGGTTTAGTAGACAATTTTGTTATGTACAACATGTGCCAAGAGAACTTAAAGATGACGTTCGGAATGGTACTGTACTATCAGTGTACTCACATTGGAAATCATGCTTGAAGAGTGACAGTGCATCTACAATAACCCTACCCACCAAGGACAATATCCAGGAGTTTGAGGTCACATCCGACTATGTTATTTGGTGGTCGAAGGTGCATCGCTTTGAATCTACGAAATCAAAGACAATCTCAACTGTAGGCAAGTCGTCGTCACTTTCTCTTAAGTCTCAAGGCCACGAAGTTTCAGTTCATGATAAACTCACCCGTGGTAGAGCGCTCCAAGTTCATCCAGAAGTTGAAGGTAGTTCTACTACTCCTGTGCCTCGAGTTCAACACCCATCTCTGGTGGATGTTCCTTCAACTCGAGTCCCTAATGATAAAGGAGAAACATAAAGTGTGGCAGATTCCCAGGAAGATTTCATTCCCCTTGGTCAACGAATTCGCAATTTGAAGCGAGGGCATATAAGCAGCAATGAAGATAGTGAAGTCAACTTTAGGCATAAGAAGACAAGCGTCAAACCTCTTTATTGTGATTTGGACACGGCATACCCACTTGATGACACATTCTTTTGTGATGTGCCCGCTATTTCACAACCGGTTCTAATGAACGAGGTATGTATTTTATTTCACCTTGAGCCTCCCCTTTTTATACATATATATATTAATTAATTAATTAATTATATATATATATATATATATATATTAGGGAGAAGTAGTGCATCATGTCCCTACTGTGTCCGAGCTTGTACCATTTAATCATTTTCTTATCGAAGAGGAAAATGATGCTTTGCGCCCGATAAGTGGTTCAGGTGTTAGCCTAAGAGGTATGATTTTATCACGCTCCGTATTTAGAAATCTTTGATTCTACTTGCTTAACCATTACTTGTCAATGTAGGTTCGCTTGTGCATCAACATTTGTTAAAGCCGGCTACTCATGCATCAACCTCTGAAATGTCATGTGGGGAACCGAAATTAGGTGTTGCAGACAAAACCCTTCGCAAAGTAGTTTCCGTTCTGGGCAACCAAATAAAAACATAATCTTGAAGGCTTCGTTAGAAAGGCTTTCTTCATTCGAAGATGAGATTGGCAAGTTGTTGACTACCCTTGACAATGTAGGGGCGGACGTCAGTTGACTATTGTTCTGCACACTTTGCTTACTCCCAAAAGCTGTCTCCCAAGGTTCAAAGTGATCGTTTAGCTGCTGTCGACTCTTCACTTTCTGTTGCCTTGGCTCTGCAACAAGCTGAAGAGGTTCATCAATTTTCGATACTTAAGTCTATTAAATCTGCCAACACACGTATGGAGGAGTTGAAGAGAGAACAAGAGCAATTGGAGTCAAGACTGCGTCAATTAAATGAATCACTTTCAAAGAGTGATGCACAATTTTCTTATCATCATTGTGAGGTTGCCCGTTTGAGAGTGGATAAGATTGCAGTTGAAGAAGCTCCTGTATTATCCACTGCCGATGCTGAGACTTTAGATGCGTTACGAGTTTCTTTTGAGAGATTGCGTAACGGCTTCAAGGACTTGTCTTGGGAATAGCAAACTTTTGTTGTTGTAAACTTTCTTTGCTTTCTTTATATTTCTCTTTGAACTTGTCAAAGTGTTGATGTTTACTAGTTAACTTTCATAATGAAATAAAAGCACTTTCTTATTTTATTTTATTTTTTTTTGAATGGTTCGGATTGATGAGGAAACCCTTTGTTTTTATTTTGATGTGACTGAACTTGGAATTATTTATCCAAGCTGCCTACGTACCCTCGGTGAAAAGGGATCAAATCATCACGTAGTTTAAGGGACTTTTTTTTTTTTTTCGGGTTTTCAGTTTTTCTTGTGCTCTAACTTTTGCTTGGACCGCCCTTTCGGGTTTTCAATCAACAACCTTTTTTTTTTTTTTTGTTGCCGTACGCAGTTTAGGCTCATGCGGGCCAGGAGCTTGGTATCATTTCATGCGTAGTATCGTTTCAAGAACTTTCCGTTGATAGGACCGACTCTTAAACCGTCCTCGGCTACGATCTTGTAAGCTCCACTTGTGTACACTTCTTGAACTACGTAGGGCCCATCCCATTTCGAAGTAAACTTGCTTTCGGTTTTGTGTGTTGTGATGATAGGTCTACGTAATGCGAGGACAAGATCTCCTACTTGAAAAGACCTAGGGCGAACCTTCTTGTTAAAAGCATTCGAAAGCAGAGCTTGATAACACTCTAAGCATTGTTGCGCTTCGAGTCTCTTTTCATCTAGTGCTTCTAACTCTTGGAGACGTAGCTTTGCATTCTCTTCATCAGTCAATCCCTCTTGTACGGCCATCCTCAATGATGGAATTTGACTTTCTAGAGGCAAGCCTGCTTCCACGCCATACACAAGTGAGTATGGTGTAGCCTGAGTAGGCGTCCGGTATGTCATCCGATAAGCCCACAATGCTTCATTTATCCTTTCATGCCAATCTTTCTTGGTTCTTCCAACAACTTTCTTCAACAGGTTGCAAAGAGTTTTGTTGAACGCCTCCGCAAGACCGTTGCCTGGGGCATTGTACATTGAAGAGTTGCGTTGTTTGAAACCGAAGTCTTCACACAATTTATCCATCAACCGGTTCGAGAATGGCTTTCCATTATCTGTGATGATGTAGCGCGGCACACCATACCAATGAATGATATTCACTTTGATAAAGTTCACTACGTTTTCTTTCTTCACTTCCTTTAAAGGTACAGCTTTTGCCCATTTTGAAAAGTAGTATGTGGCTGCAAGGATGTAAGAATGACCATCAGAAGATTTGGGTGCTATTGGTCCCACCACATCAAGGCCCCACGCATCAAATGGCCATGAAGCAATTGTAGGATGTAGCGGCTCCGGCGGCTGATGTATAAAGTTGGCATGGAATTGACATGCTTGGCATTTCTTCACATAATCCATGCAATCCTTGACCATAGTCGGCCAATAGTAGCCCATCCTCTTTATTTGGAAATGTAGCTTTGGCCCTGATTGATGAGCTCCGCAAATACCTGAGTGAGCCTCCTCCATTGCTTTGGATGCATCTTCTTCCCCCAAGCATCTTAGAAACAGGCCTTCGAATGAACGACGGTATAGAATCTCTTTATAATAAATGAATCGAGGTGCCCGACGCCGTACCTCTGATCGATGTCTCGAATCATCTGGCAGTTTCCCATGCTCAAGATAATCAATTAAAGGTTGCCTCCAATCGTCAATGTCAATGGACAATACCGAGATAACGTTGGCTCCTTTTTGCGATGCCCCAAGTGTTAATGGAACGACCCAACGTTGGCAAACTAGAAGATTCATCGCTTCATCTTTTGTCAACGCCAATGTAGCGGCAAGATTGGCTAAGGCATCTGCCATTTGGTTGTCCTTTCTTGGCACATGCTCCAGCGTCACAAAGTCAAACCTTTCCAGTAATTGCGTGGCCATTTGGTGATATGGAATTAGATCATCCTTCCTAACTTCGTAGTGGGTCAACAATTGGTTGATCACTAACATGGAGTCACCATATACTTCTAAGCTCAATATCTTCATCTCTACGGCCATTTGTAAGCCCATGATCAAAGCCTGGTATTCTACAACGTTGTTCGAGCAAAGTTCACTTAAAGAGAATGAGTAGGGCAATACGTGTCTCTCGGGTGACAGGAAGACTACGCCAGCCCCCACCCCATCTTTACGAGCCGATCCGTCAAAAAACATCATCCAAGCAGGAGAAATGTCAGCGAAGAAGACTTGTTCGTCGGGTATGTCATCTGAAATTTCCCAGTCTGCTAGAATTGGATGATCGGCTAGGAAATCTGCAACAGCTTGCCCCTTTACTGCCTTTGCTGGAGTGTAGATGATTTCATATTGATTGAGAAGTAACGCCCACTTGGCCAAACGCCCCGTCAAGACTGGTTTTGACATAACGTACCTCATCGGGTCAGCTCGTGCAATTAGATGAACCATGAACGCTTGCATGTAGTGCCTTAACTTTTGAATAGCAAAGACAAGTGTAAGACACATCTTTTCTATAGGCGTGTAGTTCAATTCGGGACTAGTAAGAGTTCAGCTTAGATAATGGAGTGCTTGCTCCTTATGTGACTCATTCTCTTGCGCCAACAGGGCTCCAATTGACCTTTCTTGAGCCACAATGTACAATATGAGTGGTTTGCCTGGAATATGAGCTCCTAACAGTGGTGAACTCGATAGGTACTTCTTTATGCTTTCAAATGCATTGTGACAAGCTTCATCCCAAACAAATGGAACATCTTTTTCATAAGGCGACTGAACGACTGACACCTTCTTGCTAAGTTTGAGATGAATCGCCGAATGAACTCGAGACACCTTGTAAACTTTTCAACTCACGTAAATTTCTTGGCTCGAGCATACCTCGGATGGCTTTAATCTTAGTTTGGTCTACTTCGATGCCTCGATGTTTAACGATGAAACCAAGAAATTTACCTAACGTGACGCCGAAAGCACACTTCAAAGGGTTCATCTTGAGTTGGTATTTCCGCAATCTGTTAAACACCATTCTCAAGTCTTTCAAGTGATCTTCTCTTCTTTTTGACTTGATCACCAGGTCATCAACGTAGCACTCGACATTCTTATGAAGCATGTCACCAAAGATCTTTGCATTGCACGTTGATAGGTCGCACCTGCATTCTTGAGGCCAAATGGCATCACTTTGTAACAGTAAATTCCTTTCGGAGTGCGGAAGGCTATGAGTTCTTCGTCCTCTGGCGACATTCTTATTTGATTGTATCCAGATGAAACATCCATGAAAGATAAGGCTTCATGACCTGTGGTTGCATCAACCATGAGCTCAATTATGAGCAATGGAAAAGTCATCCTTCGGGCAAGCCTCGTTTAAGTCTCGAAAGTCAACACAATACGAATTTGTCCAATGATTTTCTTCTTCACCAGAATGATGTTCGCTATCCAAGTCGGGTATTTCACCTCCCTAATAAATCCGGCTCGATCAACTTGTCAATTCGGCTTCGATTTGACTTAGGAGCTTCGGACGGAAGCGATGTTGAGTTTGTTTGATTGGGCGTGTTCCAGGTTTGACTGCAAGGTGATGGACAGCAACATTCGGATCAAGGCCTGGCATCTCCTTGTATATCCAAGCAAAGACATCTTTATACTCAAGTAGCAGTTGATGATAGGACTCCTCTTCACTAGGATTCAAAAGTGCACTAACGAAGATAGGTCTTGGGTCTTCATTTGTGCCAAGATTGAGTTCTTTTAGTTCATCAACAGTCGCTTGGCCTCTATCTTCTAATGCGGCAGGAGCATCATGAACCTCCTCCTCGAAAGGTTCCTCTTCGTCGAGCTCTTTGATCGTAACGTGATGAACAGCTAGAACCTCCGCTTCATCATCATCACTTTTGTTTTGCTGACTCAAAGTTTCCCGAGTTTGTATGATTGTTCATCGTTTCACTTTGAGTTGGTCACCTAAAGTTACGTCTAATGTAGAGTGACGTTTCATACATGACGGGATTAAGCTCCGAATTTCATTGTCTTCCGTTGAATCGACATGAACTCTAGTTTTCAATTCTTGCTAATTTTTCTCTTCAGACGACTTGCTTGGAACTCCAAGTCTTTCTAGCGCCGATCTGCATGGGGCTGATTGAATTCCCATTTGGCTATCATGCCCAGTTATCCTTTTGAACACAGAAGGTCGTGATGTTGATTCTTTGATGCGGCTGAAAACTGAGGTCCGCTGGGTAGGCTTGGCTAAACGGTCGAACACTGAGGCTCTCTTAACAGCCTTTGGTTCTTCTTTCTCCTCCACCGCTTCGACACTAATATGTTGAGCTTCTGCTTTCTTTTCTTTTCTTCTAGCAGAGATCTTAACAGGTGCGACATGAGTAAAACCTAGGCATGCTCTAGCTGAGTCAATTGTGTAACGTTGCTCCTTCAACTTTTTTTGGTTTCACTAAAGCCATGCTTCCTTTCTCCTGTGACATCTGGATTAAGCTCACCCATCGAAGAAGATAAGCCGAAGTCATAACCTGCCTTTGACATGAGCTTATAAGCATTAGGGTCAAAACCTTCTTTTGTTCTTGTGACCGGAAGAGATTCGTGTCTTGTTGCCTCTTGTGATGGTCTGACGAACCCTGGTACCGAAGATTTCGAAATGTCTGAATTATTCAACTTGGGTAAAGGTATGGTTGTCGACTCCTTCAAGAACTTCATGTCGCTTTCTCCCCATTTCCTTGGCTTTACTTCTTCTCCAAATGGGGATTGTCCTTCCTTCCGTCGGGATGATGAGACATAGTGGAGGATGAGAGTAGACACCTTTTGTGAATATGTCGGTGATGATACCATTTGTCCGGACAAGGTGCTTTTTTACTTCTTCGAAACATTCTCTACAGCGGGAGGGCAGTTTTAATGCTCTTCTCTTCTTGGCATGGCTTTTCCTGTCGAGTGAACCTCCACGGGAATAACTTCAGATACCATGTTTTCATCCATGTAAATTTGGCGTCCACGAAGTAAGACTCGGCTTCAGTAAATGGTTTGACGTCACCCAAGATTTTCTTTACTCCTCCTCTGTAAAATTTGAAACATTGATGTAAGGTTGAAGGCACTATCCCATTTTCATGCACCCATGGCCTTCCTAATAGGAGATTGTAGGAGGTCTTAGCATCAATCACGTGAAATAGGGTGTTTGACTTTAAATCGCCTATCACGAGCTCAATTCTGATTATGCCCATAGCTCTTTGTCCTCCTTGATTGAAGCCTGGAATCATGAGACGACTACGAGACAATTCGTCCATGGTGATGCCTAACTTCATCATCGTGGATTTAGGCATGATTCACTGCTGAACCTCCGTCCACAAGCATGCGACTAAGTTTTTGTTCTCGCACATACCCTGACATGAAAAACGGACGATTATGTGGTTTAGATCCTAACAAGAGGTCTTCATCGGTGAATGTGATGGAAGCGCACGTTGCGCAACAAATAGCATGGTCTTGAGACTCAGGCTCTAATTCTCCGGTCTTCCGTATCTTATTTGGTTGTATATCGAGATCCATTAATGCCTTTACCAATGCTACACGTATGGCTTTAGGGAGTTCCACCGCTTCTTCAATATTTGAATGCGCTGGTGGATTTTCTGCCTGTGTTGAGACCTTTCGCTCTTCATGAGTTTCATATCTTCCTTCCTAGGCATCTTCGTTATCTACCTGATAGCAAGTTGTCATATGGACTGTCTCCGTTGGCCCTCTTACGAAGAACACTTTGGGAAAGTATTCTCCTAGCATAACTGGAGTTCGTGACCCTTGGATTAATGGTCCATCTTTTTGTTCGGAGTCTCTCCTCACCTTCCGCCCTGTTTTGTTCTTAGAATGTTAGTGCGAGCCTCTCTTTCGCCGCTCCTTCTTTGATTGAGCATTTTGTCTTTGAGGAATGCGCTTCGTACGAGACTTCCGCCGAGTAACGAGCGTCCATCCTTCATTGTCATCAAAAGACGAGTTACCAACAAAGCCATCACCACATTGATTGTTTGGTTCGCCCACCATTTCTTTTGTACATAGACCAGTCTTCTGGTGTATGCCCCTTGTAGATTGAAACTCCGATCTTTTTGACAATACGGGCAACGGCACCGGATCAAAGGATCCGAACACAATTGTGGCAACGTTCACCTCTGCAATTTCGTCAACATCCAACTCGATCCTTCCTTGCCTAGCTAAGTTCATAATTAGCTCCTTCAACACGAAGCACTTTTCTACTGGATGGCTGACAATTTTGTGGTATTTGCAAAATTTAGGGTCGTTGACCCGGTTCATCTCTTCAGGCCGCTTACATTCCGGCAATTCGATCACCTTCTTTTCCAGCAAATCCTCAAGCATACCTGCAACATCGGAGTCAGGAAAGGGGTACGTTTTCTCCTCCAATTCCTTCAAGGTGCACCGACGTCTATCTACCTCTCGGGATGACTCCATCCTTTTGACTTCCCTCTTCTTATCTCGGGTGGAGATTTTGATCGGGACAGTGTTGATTGTCATTGCTTCCTTGGTAGGCTTCTTGACCGGCTTATCTGTCTTTTGTCCAAAGACTTTCTCATTTTTATGCTCGATGACGGGCTCATGCTTTCCTTCGTGGCTAGCAATGCTTAACTCCATATCATGGGCACGAGTGGCTAGCTCCTCAAACGTGCGGGGTTTAATCCCTTGTAGAATGTAGAGTAACCCCCAATGCATCCCTTGAATGCACATCTCGACTGCTGATATCTCCAAAAGCCTATCTTTGCAATCCAAGCTTAATGAACTCCATCGATTGATGTAATCAACAACAGGTTCATCTTTCCATTGCTTGGTATTCGTGAGTTCCATCATACTCACGGTGCGACGAGTGCTATAGAATATGTTCAAGAATTCTCGCTCCATTTGGTCCCAACTGTCAAGAGACTCGGACTCCAAGTCTACATACCAATCAAATGCATTTCCTTTCAGGGACCGAACAAATTTTTTCACCAGGTGGTCACCCTCTGTTCCAGCATTGTTGCATGTTTCGACGAAGTGTGCAATGTGTTGTTTTGGATTGCCCTTTCCATCGAATTGTTGGAACTTGGGAGGTTGATATCCCGTCGGCATCCGCAAGTTGTCTATCCTCCTGGTGTATGGCTTAGAATACATGAGCGTGTCTCAGGAAGGTGCTCCGTATTGAACTCTGATGGTGTTCGCGATCATGTCCTAAGTTGTTGGACCAACAAAGAACCCACCGAGGCGGCGTCAATTTTTCCATGCGACTTCTCACCCGACTCTGTTTCATGACCCAATCCTTTCTCACTGGATTCAGCCTCATGATGTGGTCCTTTCTTGTTTGCATCTTGACCCAGGCTCCTTATCCTGATGTGCTTCCCACTTGTTGATGAGAGAAGCAATCTGCGCATCCTTCTCTTCGACCATCTTCGTCAGTTTCGTGACCACTTCGCTCATATAGGCCAGCTGTTCTTCAATAGACATTGCTCCCGTCACCATAACTTGCATGGCCATGGAATAAGACTCACCTATGGATGCCGAGGCAATCTTCTTCTGTTGGTCGTCAGGTGGGGATCCATGGTATGAGCCTATGCTCGAGTCAGCGTCTGAAACAGGAGAGAGGGAGCGTTCTCTTGAATTCTTCGAGCCCGAAAAACTCCTTTCTTCATTCCGAGAATTTCTCTCATCCGCTTGGGAGGTATTCTTCTTTGCCCCCAAGGAGGCCAGATTGATAACCGGTTCACGTCTTTCGCCTTGGCTTAAGTTGGTATGAAAGTGACCTGTGGAGTTGCGGATATCGCCTTGGCCTTGCTTCAGGTGACGACCCCAGCAGAATCTCCGCTTGAGAAGGAGGCGCTCACACTTTTCCCTTTCGCCACAGGAACGGTTTGAATCTTCTTAGAGGCCATCGTGTTTAGCGTGTTGGTTGATTTTGGAACTGGAAAAAGAGATGAGAGGTAGAGAGGGTCCCACTGGGCGTGCCAAATTTGTAAACACGAATTTCCTGCGACAAATGAGACAAGAACACGTGTACAAAATAATATTGTATTAATGAAATTTAGGGTTACAATCTCTGTATTAAATCCTCTGATTCGATCTCCAAAGTGTTTAAAGAAAATTGTGTTTAATACAAGGGTCGTAGAGATTTGATCTTGATCAAACGGGTAGCACAAGGCTTGTTTGGTGTTTGGGATTTTCTAGGGTGGAGGAATCGGCACGTATTTGTTGTGCTTGGTGGCTCTTCCAAAGTGTGGTGAAGAATGCAGAGAGTTTTATGTTTCTTCTCAATGCTAGGTTTTTTCTGGCCCTTCTTTCGTCTTGAGGCCTCCTATTTATAGGCCCTTGTAAGATGCTTAACCTAGATAACTTTCCCCATTTAAAACCTTGTTTTGTGGGATTTTGATTTGATTTAAATCAATTCCTATAATCTGGCAATTTAACCAGATTATCTTCAATTGATTGACCTAATTTGATTTAAATCAAAGTCAATCACACAAGATTCTTTCCCTTAATTTTGTCTTCATCTTGAACAGTTTGATGCACTCCGTCGGATGTCGCTACGTGTCACTTTTTGACAACTAATCCAATTTTGATGAGTCACACGCCACATGGGCGAATTATGAGGCCCACAATTTAATCCACCAAACCCTAATTATTTTCTCGTCCAATGGGATTTATTACACCAAAATTTCATTGTCTACAATAGGGTTTGGTATTTATAACTCTCACTAAAAAGTCTCACACAATTTCACATTTTTAAAAATCCTTCGAAATTAGCAAGTTTTTGAATACCAGAAGACTTTTTGTTACTTGTTTAAAGTCTGATTGAATACCATGTGATTTCGACACCCTCTTTTAAAAATCCTAATAGTCTTAGGGCATGTTTACGTATCAGTAATGGGTGTGGGAGGAAAGGGAATGATTTTCATTCCTGACTTCCCTTGCATTTACTTGCAATCATGAATTAAAAAATAAGTGGGCCCCACCTCAAATTCGTAATCACATTCCCTCAAAACTAGGTATCAGATCAACTAGGGGGAGTAGTTGATACGATTCCCATTCCTGTTTTCTCTTAATAACTTCCAAAAATACCCTTACCACTTTACCATAATGTTAAAACACCCCAAATCCTTAAAAACATAAAAACTCACGCCAAGAAGTTCCAAGACGTTCCAACTTCTTTTCACCTTAGCGTTGCAGACACAACCTCTCAGAAGCAGCAGCAACGCCTTGTGCTATGAAAGTCATTCTATCTATCTATCTTCTTCTTCTTCTTTTTCTTCTATCTTATGTCTTCACATTCATCACAAAACAAAGTACGGTCATGGATAAAGACTTTGTGGAGATTATATATCTCTTTTTTGGTAGTATGAAGATTATGTATGGTTATTATTATTTGATTGTTTACTAGTTACATAGGTGAAAGATATATATTTGTTGGAGTTTATTTTTTCGTTTGAAATTGGCTATGGACAAAGGTGTTATTAACATTATATCATTGAACTAAGCTCATGTTGTTCATCTTGTTCATCATATTGATTCCTCATGTTTACACCGCCTTACTAGTTTGCTGCAGGATTAGTTTGGTCTCGTTAGTCAATTTGAGAATTATATATGTGTTGTGGTGAAAATGTGCAGGACATTTTAGTAATTAAATTAATTTGGATTCTGATTCATGCAAATTAGTAAACAATAACAATGGGAATCAATCCCATTCCTTTGCTAATTCCATATGTTTAGTAAACAACTTAATGGAAATGATTATTCCCATACTGATTCAGTAGTTCCCCAATTCCTAAATTCTCTGATTCCTTACTTTCTCCATTACTGATACGTAAATATGCCCTTAATTGAATACCACAAGACTTGTTTAGATGATTTAAAAGTCTTAATTGAATACCACAAGACTTTTTTTTATCCCAAAATAGTCTTTTAAAATCACAATTGAATACACCCCCCTAAGTGTGTGCCAATTGCCTTTTTTGTTTTTGTGGGTATTTTTTTAGCTTTTTCTTTTTAGTTAAAAGAAAATAGATTTACTCGTATCCCATAAAAATTGGGCATATGTTCTCATTTTGTTTTTTATTTAAAATCTTCTGAGTATGAAAATTGATAATTGCTAGAGATGATTGCCTACAAAATCAACACTAAGCACATCAAACTAACAAATTTGATACGAAAATAAAGAAAATACATATAGATTCTATATGTAAAATATGAACATCCCAAACTACCCCAGACCTATATTTTACTAATCCTCGAGCAAAATTGGATATCACTCTATATTCTTCTCTCATAGAAAATATCTTCAACCTTTTGAACATCTCTAAGAATTTACAATTTTTTTTTCCTTCAACCTCTGTGTTAAAGGGATCGGTGGGACATATGGATTCAATGAGGGGAAGGAGACGACATGGCAGCAAAATTTTCTTCTTCTTAGGATTTCTCGGCAGTGGGCTGTGAGGTGGTGAGTGGCAATTCGACCGCATGCCCCACTTACACCGCAAACTTCTCAGCTTCTTTCTCTTGTTCTAATTTTTCTTTTTTTCAAGTCGATCATTCTATTCACTTGCTTCCCTTTCTGAGGAGTGATTGCCTTTGCTTGTTCTTGATTTTTCGAATTAACTTTGGCTTGGAAATACCCCTTGGTTTCTTCCACTCATTACATTAGATAGTTGGTTTAATTGCACCTCCAAATTCCGAATAGAAGCTTGCTGATTATGAAGTTGGGTTTTTGTTTCAATCATAAATTGAGTAGTAGACATACTCAACTAAGTAAAAGCATCTTCCAAATTTATTTTCTTTTCTGGAGGCAGAAAGCCAAGTGGCGATGTCTGCCCATTCTGATTATTGCTTTATGAGAAATTTGGATGGTTTCACTAACCAAGGTTGTATATGTTGGAATAAGGATTATTCCCTTGTCGATTAAATTCTGCAACCTGATTTACTAGCTCAGCGGATGCGATTGGGTTCCAAGTAGTGCACTCATAACTTGTATAAGGGCCAACACAAAAATAACAACTAACATTAGTATTAGTGTTCACAACATTAACACTCAAATAATCAACTTTTTTAGTAATGTTAGAAATTTGTGATGTTAACAAAGCCATAACATCCACTTCCAAGACCCCAGATGGCTTCAGGTTACTCTCTCACTTGACCACTAGTAGCTGTTGGAAGCCATGGTCTACAATAATTCAAATGCTTTTGTAGCTGTTTTTCCCATTAAAAGTGTCTCCACTTGCTGCGTCAACTAATGTTCTATTTGTTTAACTTAATCCATTATAAAAGTCAGAACTTGAATCCAAGTTGGGAGCTCAAGGTAAGGACACTTGCGCAATAAACTTTGAATCGTTCCCAAGCTTCATAAAAAGGTTCCTTATCATACTAAGCAAGAGGTATAATATCTTGCCAAAATTTTGTAGTTTTGGTTGGAGGGAAAAACTTAGCAATGAATTTCTTTGATAAGTCATCTCAAGTACGAATGGAGTCTTGTGGCTGTAACAATAACCAGAGCTTGGCTTTATCCTTCAAGGAGAAGAAGAATAACTTTAAACAAATCACATCATCAGTCACCCGTTGAACTTGGATGCGTCACAAATCTCCAAATATACTGCTAGATGTACATTTGGATCTTCATTCGGCAGACCACAAAATACGAATGAATTCTACAGCATAATAGGACATTGGATCGCTAAAGGGGTTCTTATTGGGGTGGCAAATTACCTCAGTGCTCTTTCAGCTTTGGCCATGGTGGTGAGTGGCGGTTCCACCAAGATGTGCTTCCCTTTGTTTCCTCTCTTCTGCTGGTGAAATGTATGTTCGATTTCTCAATCAAGTGGTATAAGTTCTAGGTTACGAGAACATCCTTCAAAATGCATACACGGATCAAGGTACATGAAACAAAAAGAAAAAATTAGAAGTAAACTTAGACTTAAAATATATTGATATTCATAGAAAATTCAAATTAGAGACGAGAAATACTGTCTAAAGGACACTGCAACTCTGTAGGACTCTGTCATCTATCCAAGTTAATATTCTGTAGTTCATTCTAAGCATATTCCTCTCCTCCTCGTCTTCGTCTCTAATTTGAATTTTCTATGAATATCAATATATTTTAAGTCTAAGTTTACTTCTAATTTTTTCTTTTTGTTTCATGTACCTTGATCCGTGTATGCATTCTGAAGGATGTTCTCGTAACCTAGAACTTATACCACTTGATTGAGAAATCGAACATACATTTCACCAGCAGAAGAGAGGAAACAAAGGGAAGCACATCTTGGTGGAACCGCCACTCACCACCATGGCCAAAGTTGAAAGAGCACTGAGGTAATTTGCCACCCCAATAAGAACCCCTTTAGCGATCCAATGTCATATTATGTTATAGAATTCATTCGTATTTTGTGGTCCGCCGAATGAAGATCCGAATGTACATCTTATAGTATATTTGGAGATTTGTGACACATTCAAGTTCAACGGGTGATTGATGATGTGATTTGTTTAAAGTTATTCTTCTTCTCCTTGAAGGATAAAGCCAAGCTCTGGTTATTGTTACAGCCACAAGACTCCATTCGTACTTGAGATGACTTATCAAAGAAATTCATTGCTAAGTTTTTCCCTCCAACCAAAACTACCAAATTTCGGCAAGATATTATACCTCTTGCTTAGTATGATAAGGAACCTTTTTATGAAGCTTGGGAATGATTCAAAGTTTATTGCGCAAGTGTTCTCACCATGAGCTCCGAACTTGGATTCAAGTTCAGACTTTTATAATGGATTAAGTTAAACAAATAGAACATTAGTTGATGCAGTAGGTGGAGACACTTTTAATAGGAAAAACGGCTACAAAAGCATTTGAATTATTGCAGACCATGGCTTCTAATAGCTACCAGTGGTCGAGTGAGAGAGTGAACCTGAAGCCATCTGGGGTCTTGGAAGTGGATGTTATGGCTTTGTTAACATCACAAATTTCTAACCTTACTAAAAAAGTTGATTATTTGAGTGTTAATGTTGTGAACACTAATGCTAATGTTAGTTGTTATTTTTGTGTTGGCCCTTATACAAGTTATGAGTGCACTACTTGGAACCCAATCGCGTTCGCTGAGCTAGTAAATGAGGCTTCCAATGCCAACAGAAGCGGTGTGGTACCTACCCCAAGGTTGTGTGATGGTTTTCTCGGCTACATACTGAATTTGGATAAAAAACAAAGAAAACCTGTTTGATAGCTCAATTTTTAAAAACTCAAACTCAAGAACAATTAAAACATACCCCAATTATTAAAAATAAACAAACTCAAGAATAACTAAAAAACACCCCAATTATTAAAAATAAAAAATATCTGTTTTTTCAATTTTTTTTTTTCTAACAATCCACAAGTTCTCAAAATTTTAAGATTTGAAAACAGTTTTCAAGTTGCATACCAAACAAGTTTTTGAATCTTAAAAATAGATTTAAGAACTCCTTATTTTTAAGAAAAATCAAAGTTTTTGAGTTCCCTATTTGAATAGGATACCAAACGCCCCTTAAATTTAATTGTTGGCATTATTTTAAATAATCGTATATTATCTTAATCGTGATTGTTGATTTAAGAACTATGTGTGGCTTGATCCCTCACAAAGGGGTATGTAGGTAGCCTGGGGTCTAACTTAGGTTCAACTGCAAAATAAACTGTTAAAGTTATGCATTATCTACATTATGTGTCTAGGTAGATGGACTACGATATTATGTCACACATTTCCGTTCAATTGTCCAATCTATGATTTTATGAAGTTTAAATATTATGTGGTGGTATACTTAGAGCTAGATAACCTTTGTTGTTAATGCTCTTATGTATTAAAGCCTTACTATGTTACCTGTATTTTAGGGAAGTTAGTTGTGGGCTCTCGTTCCTTCAGATTGTGCACTAATATACTTGTAGGTTCAGAGATGTCAAACCTTAAAGCATACATACTTTGGTATATTGGACTTTAGTATGATGTGTGACTAATACTCTATTTATGAAATCACATAGTGTTGGGTGGTGTATCATTTATACATTGAAAAGCATGATTTAAGAGAGGAATGATTGTGAGTACTTGGACTATTTGAGATTATAGATTTGTGAAGTTTTAAGAGAAATGCTTGGGGTGTATATGAGAACTATCTTGGTATCAATCGTCATGGTTTTTCTATTGTGCATGTTGTCAGCTAAGAGATTTTACATTGTGATATTACAGGTGAAAAATTTAGTAAATGTCCGTTTTTCAGGGGAGACTCTACCGAAATTTCCGCAGAAAGTCTCTTCCCTCTTTTCCTTGGTTTGGAAAAGTAGCTATATCGTTAGTAAGTGGGCTCGGCATTAGCTTGATGTCGGAAATACCATAGGATTCATCACAGATTTCGAAGAATTCGGGGCGGGTCCTGTCACTACAGGTATACTGTCATCTCCATTTTCGTTTCTATGTTAGGCATAGCATGCCACACATCTATGGGTGAAAAACACCGAAATTACTTGGATACAAATCCATGGGTGAGAAACTCCGAAATTATTTGGATGCAAATTCATGAGTAAGTAACCCCAAAATTATTTGGATGCAAATCTGTGGGTGAGTAACCCCGAAATTAATTGGATGTAAAAATCCATATGGGTGAGAAACCCAAAACCTCTGTGGATGAATGAAATCTGGAAAAATGGGTTCAAAGATCCATGACAATTAGCAAACGAAATGGGTCTTTACTTTCATCATGTTGTTTCTTCTTCTCTCTTCCTGAACAAGCTGTAAATGAAAAAAGAGAAGTTAATTCTCTACCACCAAGTGCATAAAAGAAAAAAAGAATTGAAGCAAAGGTGCTGGGGTTTATTCATGTAGCATATGCAAATAAAAAAGGGTTATACCTCTGCCTTTGGAGAATCTGATCAACTTTCTCCTTCTCTAATAAAAAAAATCCCACCAATTTCTTTAAGTACGCTACTATGAAACAAAAACATAAAGAAATCAGTTACGCACATAAACAGAACAACAAAAATAGGGTTTGAAGGGGGCAAGTCCCGTTGCACAACCAACTCTTGTATCAATTCATAGTTTGGTGTTTGTGCACAAACTGTCAAAACAAAGGAAGGAGGGCAGCCATGGAATCCCGAGTTAAATAGACCCATTAGCTATAGACCCATTTGCAAAAGAGGAAGTCAGCAAACAAAAAAGTTTGGAGGAGAGACCATGCACAACCCACTTTTTCTTGAATCTCATCTGGTGTTTGTGTGCAAATAATCAAAGTAAGAGAAGCTTTGTGTTTTGTTTTGGATATGACAATAGAAAAAGGTTCGCTACAACACAAAAGGAAACGAAGATAAACAAAAAGAGGAAGGAGTTGTGTTGGTGTGTGAACAGACAAAATAAAGAGAGATGGAAGACAACCACGTTTTTTTGGAAGAGGGCTTGGTGCATACAGACACAATAGACAAAGAAAAATAAATCAATCAATCAAAGACAACCACGTTTAGATGGCTTGGCTTGGTGTTGTTTGCATACAGAAGCAACAAACCAAAAAAAGGAAGACAACCAAAAAAAAAGGACAAAAGAAGGAATGAAAGTTTGGGCACAGAGAGAGAGAGAGAGAAAGGCAGCAAATGAAAAAGAATTGGAATGGTTTGTGCTAACTTTGCTGATTGCATATAAAAATAATAAATAAATAAAAAAGGTGTAAAAGGGGACAAGAGGAGGCAGGCGCCTCTTTGATTCTCTAGGCCTAATTTTCAATTAATGGGGTTGTACTTTGATGGAAGAAACTATAGCCTACAAAGAGAAATGTCCTAGAGAAAAGTCATACCTTTCGGATATTTTCCAAGAAAGTCTGATAATGAGGCAATGGAAAATTGGTGGTATGAAAGGTAAGCCACAGTCAGTCTGGCGTTCTAAATAAAGGGGAATTCTTGGCAATGGTGTAATTCTTCCCCAAGTATGTTAAAACTACAATTCTTTCACGGTCTAGTCCTAGTTTAGTTGTGATTGGTTTTGCTAAACCAGATGAGCTTTGTGCCAATGACCAATCATGGGCCAACCGATAAAAAATATATTTAAGGACCCATAAACAGATTATTGGGTTGTATACCCATTAGTTCTCAAAAGCCCAAAATATTTAATGGGTGATCACATAAACACCCATTAAATTTACAGAGGCCCAAGTTGCCTATTATATGGTTAATTGATCAATTTTTAAATCGTCATAGCCATATTTGGGTCCAAATGCAAATGTCAATTGTAGAAAATTAGTGGGTTCATCAAAATTGCTCATTATTTTTCTTGGACATTAACAATAAGAAAAATGGTACAAAACCATCCAATTTTTTTCATGGGTCATCTACCCATGCAAATTTCAATGAGATCAAATTAAAATCTCTCAAACACAAATTCTCAATTAGTGGGCCACACTTATCCATTAATTTTCAAGTTTTGGAATTACGTTGGTTTGATCCCGTCATGGGTACGTAGACACTCTAGCATCCCACTAGGAGCAACTGCAACCAAATGTGAACCACTGGTTACATCAACCAAATTCCTACAAATCTCAAATCCAAACGGAATCCTTGGTTTATTTTTAATCAAATTCACCCCAAAACACACATCAAAATCGAATCCCTGGTTTATTCAACTAAATTCACTCAAGCACTTCTCAATACAATTCAAATCAAAATTTTCTTGCAATGAGTCATTTATTCATTGTGATTCTTTGAACTACGAGTGGCTTGATCCCTGCAAGGGATACGTAGGCACCTTGAGGTTCAACTTAGGGGCAGCTGCAAAACCAAACACACACATTCTGTTTCTTTATGATGGAATTAAAGGGTGTTCCCTAAAAGTAAGGGATTGTAATTAAGAGACACCGCGTCTCTAATAGGTCGAACCTAAAATAATAAAACCCCATTATTTAATTAGTGGTGGTGAAATTATGTTGAGATGTTCACATTTTTCTTCAATAGAGTTAGAAAGGTTTTGAAATTCAATGAAATTTATTGGTGGCAAAGGTGTCGTGTTAATTGGTTAAAGAATGAAGATCGAAATACCTCTTATTTTCATAAGATAGGAGTCATAGAGCAAAAACTAATTCTATGGAAGGGATTTTGGATGCTAACAATGTCATGTAGAGTCATCCTATTAAGGTCGATGATGTGTTTTTGGATTATTATAATCGACTATTTTCATCCGCTAGTGCAAATATGAGCATCGAGATTTTTGAGGCAGTCTCTGCCCATCAAATGACTAAGTGTTTTCTGTCTTTGATTTTCACTTGGGAGGAGGTGAAAAGTGCCATTAAATCTATGAGGCCGACCAAAGCTCCTAGTCTAGATCAGATTCTAGCCTTATTTTATCAGCGCTACTGGAATATTATTTGTTATGATATTTGTCAACTTTGTTTGGACGTTCTTGATGGGAGTGATGGGGTGGCTGATTTCAATCATACTATGATTGCCCTAATTCCGAAAGTTAATTCACATTCTCGGGTAACTGAATTTTATCCCATTAGTTTTTGTAATGTCTTTTATAAAATTATTTCCAAAGAGCCAACATGTTGAAGAAAGCAATGCCGGATGTCATCTCGGAATATTAAAGTGCTTTCATTCCCCATCGTATGATTCCAGATAACGTTCTCGCAGTATTTGAAACTATTCATTGTCTGAAGCGCAGAGGAAAAATGGGGAGACGAAATGTTATTTTGAAACTTGATATGGCCAAGGTTTATGACCGGGTGGAGTGGATATTTTGGAACACATGATGCGTACAATGGAGTTTCCTAATCATTTTATTCAGTTGATTATGGGTTACATTACCTCTATCTCTTATTCTTTATTGTTACAGGGGAGACCATTTGGTCATATCGTTCCTTCTTGGGGTCTTCGCCAAGGTGATCCTCTTTTGTCATATCTTTTCCTTATTGTGGAAAAAGGTTTTTCTACTTTACTCTAAGAAGCTGATTGTGATTTTTGAGTTCACAAGGTTTTTATTGCCTTTTCTACACTGTCTATTAACCACTTGTTTTTCGTAGATGACAGTCTTTTAGTCTGTGATGCTGAGTCTTTGAAGATTATGGAACTGAAATGAATTTTTGGCCTCTATAAAGCGGCATCGGGACAACAAATAAATTTTAAAAAGTCTGCCTTTGTTTTAGCTCATCTACCTATGAGCCAGTTCAAGTCCAAATCCAAGTAGTATTGGGAGTACTAGTTGTCCCTTGTCATGAACGCTACTTGCGTTTTCCTACTATTGCCGGCAAAAATATAAAACACATGTTTCATGTGCTATCAAAGATTGTGTTTGGAAGAAAATCTCTGGCTGGGAAGGCAAACTTATCTTCAAAGCTAGGAAAGAGGTGCTTATAAAAGTTGTGTGTCAAGCCATGCCTACTTATTCTATGAGGTTTTTTTGGCCTCCATACTATTTTATGTTTTGAGATCGAAGGTATTTTTCTTGTTATTGGTGGTCGGAAGGGGGGTGAGAAAGGTATCCATTGGAAGAATTGGAAAGTTCTAAGCAAGCATAAGACTAAAGGAGGTATGGGTTTCCGCGAGCTTGTCACTTTTCACCAAGCCTTACTTGCCAAATAAGGATGGCGTCTCCTGGAATTTCCTAATTCTTTAATTGCCCAGATGTTCAAAGTCCGATATTTCTTTGACTATGATTTTTTGCATGCCCAAGAGAGTTCGACACCCTCACATGGCAATCGATCTTGTAAGGTCGTGAGCTCATTTCTTGTGGTCTTTGCTGGCACATTGGAGATGGACGTTTAGAAAAAATTTACGGTGATCCATAGGTACCTCACCACCTTAATTTTACTGTTCGGTCTACCCCCTACCCTCCTGTGGACTCAAAAGTAAGTGCTCTTATTATTGCTAGTGGACGTTGGAATGTTTATGAAATTTATCATCTCTATACTTTTCTTGAAACTAAGCTCATTCTATCTATTCATTTGGCATTTTACTCGTTGTTGAGGCCCAAAAAAGTCACGGGAAGCCTAAAGACATTGAAAGCCCAATATAACATATAATGTTGTTCATGCGATAATCCAAGTTGTATTTTGGGATTTAATTCATTAAATAAATATAGAAATAGCGTACATGCCATGCCAAACTAACAATACATTTTTCCCATACCAATCACCTATCAAGCTCACATGAACCCAAGTCATGTGGTTTACGGAGCTTGCATGAGGGATTGTGGTGTGGAAGGTTACGGAGGTCCACAAGGCCCACTGAAGCTCTCGGATAATGGAGACTTTGGGCTAGCTACTTGGGAGCACCAAAGTCCAAGCCCATTACTTAGAGTTCAACAATGTGGGTGAGCAAATGAGATATTTTTGAAGCACTTCCTTTTACCCATAGGAAATAGTCATTTTCCAAATACCTAGCTTTACCCGTTGGAAACAAGCATTTTCCAACACTTCCTATTACCCACTGGAAACAAGCAATTTCCAGTGCTTCCTTTTACCCATAGGAAATAATTAGTTTATGGTACATAGATTTACATGCTGGAAAATAGTATGCCCCAGTGCTCCCTTTTAACCACTGGAAATAGGCTGGTTCCAACACTTCCCTTTACCTATTGGAAATAAAGGAAAACTCTCACCCTCTATAAATTGGCATTCATGGTTCAAGCAAAAGACACCAATTTTTCTTCAGCCAACACTCCTCACTCGGCTGCTGCAAGCATCCCAGCAATCATCATCCCCTCTTGGTTGCTGCAAGCCTCTCAGTAACCATGAGAACTCACATTTCCTTAGTTGTTGCAAGTATTCCAGTAGCCTTCACAGTCATTCCCCAACCATCACAACCATGTCTTCTACTTTCTCACCCTTGAAATCCAACATCTTCTCCATAAAGCCTCACCAAGCATAACTCCAAGTTCTTTTCTTCCTTCCAAGCTATAAACACCATAGCCTTCAAACCTCAAGCTTTCCTTTTCATCCTCCTTCTCTTGAAACTCTCAAATTTCCATAGCCATAGCCACAAACAACAGATTATCTACACCCAAACTCAAGCATATCTAACACCAAGCCAAGCACATGCATTCTCTTTTGCTAAACTTGTGGGTCTTTAGCTCCCACACTCCAAGCTCTCATGTCAAGCCTAGTAGTACCTTGATTCACCAAGCAAACTCTTATGCCAAGCCTGTGCAACATCAATGCACCATTTTCAACTCTTCGTCAAGCTACCGAAAATATCAGCACAAAACATGCAGCCGCTGGAAGAAGAACAAATTACTCCCCTGGGACTTGCTTCTCCCTCGGGGTACTCTGGGCCTAGTTCTTATTAACTGAGGAAAAGGGGCATTGAAGGCTTGATTCATCACTCTATGGCAGTCCAAGAACCAATAAGCCCGGATGAGCCTTCTGACGAAAAAGACCCCAACACTCGTAATGGCCGGTATACGGTCAAGAGTGGTTACTGATGGCTTCTTTGTCTACCTCTAGGTCTTCGTCTTCTACTTTTTAGAAGTTGTGGAAAAATCTTTGGAAGTTAAAAGTACCACTGAAAGTGCAACATTTTTTATGGCCTTTGGCCTAGAATGTCCTCCTTACCTTCGATGTGCTTTATTGATGGAAAATCACCCAAAATGTCATTTGTTTAAGTTTGCCTTGGATAGGTTGAAACAACTCTTCATGCTCTTCACAGTTGTGTGGCTAGTTCCTTGGTATGGGAAAAATTGGGTTGGACTTCATCTCTTGTTGCTTTACCTTGTCAAGACACTGCAAGCTGGTTGCTAGCTACGTGGGACCTTATCCCTAGTACCCAACACTTTTTGTTTGCGACTGTTCTTTGGTCTTTTTGGAATGCTTGTAATGTTGTTTTGTTTGATTCTATTGTTTTGTCCCATGAGCAAATTGTTTTTTGTGCAAAAAACTATGATGCTAAGTTCTAGAAGATCTTACTTCTTCATCATAGGCGGTCTTCATTGCCAACTCCTGAGAAACAGTGGCAACCTCCGCTTCCTTGTTATTTTAAACTCAATGTTGATAGTGCGCTTATTTTGGCCTCTGGCTTAAGTGGGGTTGGTGTGGTGGTAAGGGATTCCTATGGTCGAATTTGTGGTGTGGTGGCGATGTGTACACCCAGTTTGCTGTCAATACTGGGCATTGAGTTGTTTGCTCTAAAATTTGGAATATCCTTTGCGGTGGACACTTCCTTCTCGGTCTTTAGTAGGTGAGTCTGATTCCTTGGCTGCTATTCAATTGCTTCTCAAGAAGGAGACCTGCTATACGGCGAAAGGGGTTCTTGTTGAGGAAATTAGACAACTTCTCGCCTCGTTGCCTTCCTTTTCTGCTTGTTTTGTTCCCTGTACTACTAATGGGGTTGTGGATCCTCTTGCGCTTTTCAATCTTGTTGAGGATGATTTGTCTTTTTGGTTTACTGACCCAACAGTTTGGTTGCAGGATTATCTGATTGAGGACTCTCCTGGTAGTTTTTTATGTTTGACTTTCTTGTAATCTCTGGCATGTGTGGTACTTTTTCCTCCTTTGAGTTTTGTCCCTTCGGGTTTTCCTCAGAGAGATTTTAACAAGGCTACCTAATACATGATATTCATCTTGTAATGATTTGATTATCTAATAGTATACCATCCTTCTCTATCCAGAAATTTCCCGAAATTATGACTTTACTACATAAAGTTTTTTTCATCTCAACTTCCTACCTAAAATTTGATTTTTCTACCACTTTCATACCTTTATTAGTCTAACTGTTAAGTTATCCGTTAAATGATGATGTGGTAATCAAAGTTTTTTTAAGGTCAAAACGTGGCAATCAATGACCCACTTAAACTCAGACATATTGTGCTACATCAGCTGATAAAAATAAAAGATAAAAAATAAAATAATCAAGTAACAATTAAAATAATTGAAAAAACTCAAGAAAAAAATTAATTTTTTTTTGTGTGGGGAAAACTCTCTCTCCTCTTTGTGCAACTCATGACCCACCCCTATCCACCCCACCATTTTTCCTCTCCCCTTCTCTCTCTTTTTCCATCTCTCTCCTTCGTACCTAAACCAGACCTTCCTTTATTAGGGATGGCTACGTCTTCTACCCAACAAAGCTCACCATGAAACACACCTCCCTCACCTCCTTCTCCACCTCTTATGTCTTCTCCGTCCTCCCGAGATTGCTTCAGCCTATGCTTTGTCCTCTCTAACTCTACCTCACCCCCAACGCCCTCGACAGCCAATACTTCGGCCTCTTTACCAACTCCACCATCCCCGTCGTCGCTCTGTTGCTTGCCGTCGAGTTTGATACTGGGCAAAACCCAGAGTTCAACCACCCATATGGAAACCACATTGGCATTGACCTCAACAACAATTTTCTTGTGTTTCAGTTGAGTTCTTCTTCGTCTTCGTTGTCTAATGGGGCAGTTGCTGGCATCGCAATCAGTTGTGTTGTTGTGGTGTTGGTTTTAGCATATGGGATTTACTTGTATCGGGTTGCAGGATGCGGATTTGGTTTAGGAAGGGAGGAGAGAGAGAGAGAGAGAGAGAGAGAGAGAGAGAGAGAGAGAGAGAGAGAGAGAAATGGGGGAGGCGATGGTCGGTTGGAATAGGGGTGGGGTGGAAAGCAGTGGGTTGTGACTTGTGAGTTGTAGAGAGAGGAAAGAGAGTTTAATTTTTTTTTTCAATTATTTTAATTGTTAATTGATAATTTAATTTTTATCAACTGATGTGACACAATATATTTGAGTTTCGGTGGGCCATGGATTGTCAAGTCATCATTTAATGGATAACTTAATAGTTAAACTAATGGAGGATAAAAGTGGTAGAAAAATCAAATTTTGAGTACGAAGTTTATATGAAAAAAACTGTGTAGTAAAGTCATAATTTCGAGAAACTTTCGAGTAGTAAAATGAAATGAACCCTTTTTTAATTTTAAAGTTAAGTGTTATTGTATATGGCTTTGTGGGCCGGACTTTTATGGGTGGTCTGGCTAGACTTTCTTGGGCTCGAATGGGTTGGATTTATGAGTTGGACTAGACTCTCGACACCTTAGCTCAAGCCTAACCCATTGAACAACGGGCCGGGCTGGCCAATGACCCACAACAAGTCAGACTGGGCTTTTCCTCAATGGTACGTGTGGCTCCCGTCGGCCCATGAGCTGTCTCTTCTTCTACTCAGGGCAGCAGCCACAAGAACCCAACAGAACAAATGAGAAAACAATGGAGGTCATGGAAGACACACTGCACCTGCAATTGCATAAGCTATCAGCCCTAAAATCAGAGGAAGCACTTGACCAATTGCTTTGCACTCTCTGGAAAACCAGGAAAACCGGTCTCCACTCCCCCCACCAAAAGTCCCACTTCCAATCTCTCCTCAATCTGCCTTCTCTTTCACAACTCCTTCCCGTACGTATTTCTCTCTCTCTCTCTCTCTCTCTCTCTCTCTCTCTCTTAATTTCTGTAGAAAAAATTTACATAACATTTGTTTTTTCTTAACGAATTTATATGCCCTTTTGTTTTGCTTAACAAATTTACATACCCATTTGTTTTCTTGGCAAATAACAGGTTTTGGCATGCCTTCGATCGCTTATCAGAAAATGGGTACATGAAAACCTCACTGGTGATGACCTTTTGAAGCTCTTCCCTCCCGATTTACCGCTCGATTTGCAGAGCAGTTTGGTGGTGTTGTTCCACAAGTATCAGTCTCAATGGAAGGATGAAGTAGTCCGAGAACAGCTGGTTAGCCACACCTACTTTGACCCCGAGTTTTTAAAATTGCATTTTGATCGTTTTTTGCATATGTTTTCTGGGTTCTCTTTGCCATTGTCATTCGTATACTCAACTCTGTTTTTTTTCTTTTTCTTTTTCCCAGCGTTCATTGCCAAGGACTAGTGTTTCGTATCAGGTCAAGACAAGTGTGCCGCCATCTTTCACGACTTTGGGTAGCTCATGCTCATTTAGCGATTTTGGAGCTTCATCAACACCGATTGTTACTGGGACCAATGCGTCTCGGCTCACTCCCATGTCTCCTCCAATTCTTCAGGTGGTGAGGTTGATTGCTTGATTGGTTTCTTGTATGATAATTAATTTCATACTTACTTCATAGCTTTCTATTGCAAGTCGCATTCTTTCTAATATAACTGGCTATGCTGGTGTTTTTGGAACCTTATGTGGTAATTATATTATAGGATGTGGGACGCCTCTAGTTTTCTCTATGGTTTCTTAATAGATTCCAAGGCAAAAATGTTTATGTTGTAGAAAAAGATGTCTACTAGTTTGATTTTTCAGGTCTTAGATTGAACATGCAACTTATATCTCTTTCTTCTCCCATCAGTTGTAGTAAACTTGGATATCATGTTTTTTTTGGGAATTTTTATAGGTGTAGTAATTCCCTATCGTCTCACTAAACTTCTCTTGATATGCAGGGAATTCTACCTCGCCTAAAGTCAATGACTTGGACCATGGAGAACTGTAACTCAGGGCCGGCTAATAGAGTGGCTGTCATCAATCTTAAGGTAGGTAAATTCTGAGAAGAATTCTTTCCAAAAGAGTTTCGAACAAGGCAATTGAAATATAGTATGAATGAGGTCAACTGTGTGTGTGTATATATATAAATATAAAGGTGCACATATAAAATTTAAGCATTCAAAATCTCATGGGATTAGGACTTATGAAACATAATCAAGTACAACTGTCCAAGAAACATGTTACTATGTATGAGTATATATTGCTGCCAAATAGTTTTCCAGAATTCTACTGCTCTTTAGATTTTACTGAAAATGAAAAGACTGCGTGGATTTCAGGAAAATAGCAAAATAGCATTCAATGTAAAGCTTATTATATTCTCTATATAATTTAACTCATTAAAATCCCAGTTGCAAAAGCAAAACCCTAAACCCTAAAATGCACGCCTTCCCCTTTTTACTAGAATTATCAACATTTTTCTTTTAATTGATATCAACCGGTAAAATATCATGTAAATATAGTACTATACCAATACCATTTCACCTTCAGTTTACGATGTACCTTCTAATCTTTTAATGAACTCAAAACTGATACACACCTCACTAACATATATTAAGCTTCTTAAGCCTTAACCTCTCCAAGCTCCCTTAGTTCTTCTCCCCATATAAGTGCCACCACCAAATCTTTCCCCATATGGAATTGGAAATTTTTGCAAGACCAACTAAAATTAGTTTGTATTTGTTTTAATTTTTTTTTATTTTTAACTTTCTATTTAAACAGACTTCCCAAACAAAACAACTGCAAGATGATTTCTGTTAAAATGGTTTTGATTAAGACAAGTTAGCGGTTTCAATTCAAGCTTGAGTTCTTATGCTAGCTGATACGCATCTGATTTGTTTGCCCAGCTGTGTAAGAAGAATGAAATGGGATTAAAGAGACTTTCCTTTGCACTTCACTTACCTTGAGTTTTATATAGCTTCTGGTGGTTATAGTTTCACAATGAATTCATGCATGTGTGCCTCTTTAATAAAGTTCGAAGTTTCTCGTCCCTTTCATGTGGCAGTCTCATTAATTTGTTTGGTCATTTTTCTTCACACACATTATGTAATTTATTATTTATTTTTTTTCTAGTTGCAAGATTATACCAAATCTCCTTTAGATGAAATCGAGGTGAAGTTTCAACTGAGTAGGGACACTCTTGAAGCTATGCTGAGATCATTGACTTACATCAAGGAACAACTCTCAAGCATGGTAGGCACACTGCTTTCTAACTTATTGGTATTTTGCCTTCTCTCTGTTGATTTTTCGTCTGAACTGTAGAGTAGAGATATAGGGATGTGGGTGTTGCCTGGGACATAGTTACACTTAATATTTATAGGCTTCAAATAAAACTCCCAAACACTCCTTTAAGCACTAAAATACTCATTATAATACTAAAAGACCCATCAAATAATAGAGAAGTACTAAAAGACTCATTTAACAACATCAGTGATTACCTTTTACTGGCTGGCTGCCAATAACCTTCACTGGTGGGTGGCAAACTCCAGTTTCCAAAATTTACAAAAAATTATTAAATTTCTTTAAACATAGAACATTAGCAATTACCAAGAAAACATATCTTTCATCTAAAATGTGAATATATTTTTTGTTCTATAAGATATTTTCTGCTAAACAAATAAAAGATAATAACAAATTAACAGTTTCTTTATTTAGTAAAATGAAATTTGCAGCAAATACCTCTGGATTAATATTGATGTGAGAATTTAAGGTGCAATGCTTCTTTTGCGTTCTTGCAAAACGATGTATCTGAACTTCTGCTGTGGTTTCAGGTTGGGACTATTTCTGGGCCATCACAAAAGAAACAAAAGCAATCGGATCATTTGGTATGATATCTTTAAATGTATAGCTAACTTGCCTAACGAAGTGTCATGTCCTTTTGTTCACTTTACCCTTTTTATTAATGTCTTGCCCCCAATCTTTTTCGGATATTGAAGGACATGAACTTTTTCTCTCCATTTAGTGTATTGTATTTTCTAATACACATTTAAATGCCGGATGCAAAATGATAGTTTTGGAATCATGTAAAAGATTTTAATTTAATTTGGGTCTTTGATAGTCACTTGTAAGATGGACCGTTATTTTTTTTTGTGTCTATCCTTACCTCTGGGGAAGTTTGTATCTGGAGGTAGGGAACCTTAGCCATCCCTTTCTTGAACTGTATTTTTATTATTTTTTATACAAGCGATATTGGGGAAGGGGGATTTGAACACAGTACCTTGGTGCATAGGTAATTGCTCTAAACCACTTGAGCTACAAGCTTCGAGAACTGTATTTCTAATCATTCAAGTTCAACCATAACGTTTGTTGGTAATATTTTTCTTTAAAAAGAAAGTAAAATCTGTGGTAAGAACATTCATTTACATTATGTTGAGCAAGGCACATTGTTCTCGGTTAAAAGCTACTTATTTTTTGTTCTTCAATGAACCGACCAACTCCAAAAAGTGGTAGGCAAAATCAGACAAGTCGGCAGCCAACTTGAAATATGACCAACAAACTCTTGCATACCACTTAACTAGTATGAAGGCTGTACTTTAAGACGCTTTGCATAAGCTTTACACTTTTTGGGTTTGCTAGTGACAGGTTGATCGGATTTAATAGCCAAATAAGAAAAATAAAATAAAATTCCGGTCAGAAAGAATTGAAAATTTTGGAATTAATTGTGAGACTGGATAAGCAGGTTCTTACCACACATACGGGAGGAGTTCAAAAATAATAGAGAGACGAAACTAGCCCAATACATATCTGGCAAATATGAGATCCTCAATTTTTACATCCAAAATATAATTTACAATACTGATGATCAAAGCCAACCTTTCACTCAACTCTCATAACGTAAGATCAAAACAAGAAATTACACACTTCAAGAAATCAAACCAAAAACTCATTCTTGAAGAAATCAATCAATCAAATAGTCACCGAAAGAAACTACCACACACCGGAAAAAACAGAAAGAGCCTGTTGCAGAAGAAAATTGGAAGACCAAAGTCGGAAACCGCCAAACACGTTCTTCAGTTTTCATGTCTTACATTCTCAATCGGTAGGTCCGTTGCATTTGGTCCTACTTCTTCAAATCCATCCTGTGAATTTGATGATTTCAGCAGCTCATCAACATTACTTCCTGAGACTTGCTTCAAAGCAGTAGGAGTAGTTATAGCTTCCTGAACACCAGGTTCTGTAGTAGTTGATGCAATCTCCTTGGTAGAAGAAGCCATTGCATCTCCTACTTCTTCCAATCCCTCCTTTGAATTTGCTGTTGGTTTTGGCAACTCATCAACATGACTTCCTGAGACTTGCTTCAAAGCAGTATGAGTAGTAAAATTTTCTTGTTCGCTTGATACTATATTGCTTGATGCAGTCTCGTTGGTAGAACCCATTGCAGTAGTTCCTACTTCTGCTGACCCCTCCTTTAAATCTGATGTTTGTTTTGGTCGCTCATCAACATGACTTTCTGAGACTTGCTTCAAAGCAGTCTGAGTACTGATGTTTTCTAGAGCACTTGATACTATATTGCTCGACACAATCTCCTCCATAGAACCCATTGCATTAATTCCAACTTCTTCTAATCCCTCTGAATTTGATGTTGGTTTTGGCAGCTCATCAACATGACTTTCTGAGACTTGCTCCAAAGCATCATGTGCAGTGATATTTTCTTGAACACTTGATACTATATTTCTTGATGCAATCTCCTCTAAAGAACTCACTGCAGTAGTTCCTACTTCTTCCGACCCATCATTTGAATATGATGGATTTGGCAGCTCACCAACACTATTACCTTCTGAGACTTGCTTCAAGATGGTATGAATATATTCCAACGGTAATTCTGTTGACTGATCCTCTGAATCCATCAGCTGTGGGAGCACATTAACACTACTTTCTGAAACTTGATTTAAAGTAATGACAATATCTTCCAAAGATCTTGCTTCGACAATTGGAAACTCTGAACTGGTCTGGACAGTATTTTTGGATGCTTCCACCGCTAGTTGATTGTCAACAATACTGGGAAGAATGACTTCCTCAACATCGAGTCCCTTTTGAATTTGCTTAAAAGCCATGTCAATATCTTCAATCGATCTTGCTTCAGGAACTAGTAGCTCCAGGTTCAATTCTGACAGGTTTGAATCCCCAAATTCAGTGCTCAAAACATTTGCTTCCTCTTGTATAGGCTCATCAGTATGGAGTGGCTCACCAACAACTTCTTTGACACTGAAGTCCCCAACTGCATCCAGTTCTGAGAGCAACCCTGCATCAATCTCCTTTACGTCATCTACTTCTTCATTAACAACATGTGCTTCTGCATGATCATCAAAACATGGTTCAACCATGGATTTATCCGACCAGGAAAGAACTTTCTCCTGTTCAGATGATGGCATTTTTTGGGAAAGAACAGATTGATAACTAGAATCTGATGAAGCTGTCTTCACATTTAAATTCTTAGGGAGATAGATCTCTTCCTCTAAGTGAGGACATGCTAAGTTGAGTTGGTTGCACGTTCCCAAGCTTCTTTCAATTTCATCTGATGCATGTACTTTTGAGGTGGAACCATTTATCTCTACATAGCCTGAAGTACCCTTCTCCGTGCTCTCACCAGGTGTTTCAGAATCCTGGTCTACAAATGGAACATACATTTCAGTTGATGCCTGAGGTGTAACCATTTCTGATATATCGGCTTGCATATCAGAAGAGATAGAGTTAAAGGAAAGGATCTTTTCGGTTGGTAGGGGACTTGAGTCATAGACTGGCTCTTTACGTTCATTGTCATCCACTGCCCTGCTCATAAATTGGACTTCTGACTCCTCAATTGAAGGTTGCGGTGAAATTACAAACTCCTTGATGATATCACCTTCTGCCTCCAAACTTGTCGATCCACCTTTCATCACATCTGAAATATTTTCATCTACTTCTGACAATGATGACGAGCTTGACCTACTGGTTTTGTCCTCTTCAACTGGTTCTGGTTTCAAATGAATTTCATTAGAAATATGTTCCACAAGAGTGGCTACCACCCCTGTACCAGACAAGCTTGGATCCGGATTTTGCAACTCCCCCAATTTTATTTCAGGATCATCATGTTGAACATCCCTTTTCCCAGCCTGTTCCATATCCAGAGAATCTACATCTTCTGAGGAATGACTTTCATGCTCAACAAGATCAGGAGCATGGTAAATGTTGGATATCACTTCTGCTTCTTTAGTAAAGTATTGCTCACTGAACTTCCTTTCATCCAGATCTGCTGCAGAACTGACTGATTCGGTATCAGGAAGAGAACTCAACTTTGAATCACTAACTTCACTTGATTGTCTTTGAAATAAGGAACTGCTTGTTCCTTCTGAAGCCAACCGTTCTGGTACAAAAACAGGTCTCCACTTAAAATCTTGCCTCTCTTGCTTGGCATGACCTAAGCTGGATGGTCCCAAACTGAAGCTTTCATGCCTACGGAAGAAAGCATCCTTGGAGTGAAATGCCATAAACTCTTGTTCAAAATGGTCTCCCTTGAGATCAGGTTTTTCTTCATTTGACTCATAAGGAAGATCAAAGGGGTTTCGTCTTGGCAACAAAATTGATGGAGCAGACCCAGGAATGGGTGGTAACCCCAAGTTATCAAAGGAATTATATGGAAGATCAAATGGGTTGTGTCTTGTTGTTGAGATTGGTGCAATATTAAAGGGAAGATCCGCACTATCAAAATCTATTAGATTCTTCTCAGCCGTTATTTTGAAGCTTTTCCTTGCTCTTCTCCTTGCAATAAGATTCTCCAAGCGTTGGTTCCTTTCAAGCTCCAAATTCCCCAAATCCATGAGATTCTTTTGGTCATCCTCTGTCCAGATGATTGCAGATTCGCTTTCATCCTCCTTCCCACCCTGCACTTCTTCCTCATCACCGTCATTATAATCAACCCCATCATCCCCTTGTATTCCTCCGCCGAGGTTTTCAGTTTCCTTATCTGACTCAACACTGCCAGCATTGCTCCTATCAGACTCAGACTCATCATGGGACATGTGAGCAGGCTCTGGAGCTTCTGAGTCTAAAAGCGGGTGTAGCTCATCAAGAATAGGAAGGATGTCAGCCATTGAAGCATCTGGTGAGGAACTCTCCGCCCGATCTGACTCAGAATCTGAAGCCTCATCATTGACATCTTCGTCAGCCTCATCATCACCACCACTGCCACCCACACCCAGAGAAGAATCCAAGTGATCAGCCCTGTACGACTCACGGGGAGATATATCATCTTCCACTGTTTTAACCAATGTATACTGCTGCTCAACAGCTTCCACATCCCATTCAACTCCTTCAATCCCCAA